CTGGACGGAATCTTACAGGATGATAATGGAACAGGTGGCTCCAGGACCAAACGAGTGAAAGTTCTGTCAGAGGAGCAACGAGAGGCTATAAGTACCTTGACACACCCTTCCCAGATGTCCCACGCTGAACGCAAGAGGCAGTTCGGAGCTTTGGGGAGAAGGTTGAAGAAGGCCGACACTCTTCCACCTGGAGTGCTGGCAAAATGGGAATGTGCCCACACAGACTTGGAAAAGTCTGGTCCTCATACTTTTTGAGTTAACCCTATGGGCATCACATATACCTTTTGAGTTTGTATATTGAGGTTTGAGTTCCTCAAGGCTTTTATGCTCAACGAGAACCTAACCAATGTGAGTGTGGACGCATGGCACATGGAGCCGATGTCTTAGATTTGTTTTGATGCTCTTTCTACTTGGAAAGCAACTTTTACCAAGTTGAAAACATCATTGATGAAACATTTGTTCCACTTTGTTCGTCTCATTTTTTTACAGCTAAGGGCATCAAACAAGAAGAACAAGACCAAGTTCATCGAGAAGCCGCTGGACGAGCTTGAAGCCACTTACGACCCACAGTGGCTTCAAGATAAAGTTGTAAGCTGTATGGATCTTATGACTGAAAACAGATCACATGTCCAATTTTCAACTGCTTGCGATGCAAAATATAGAAAAGCACTAGCAACATTAGCAAACCAAAATTGAGGCCAGAAGGGAAAACCTCACCCGCAGGACTGTCCCTGCAGCCGAAGGTTCATTCAGCAGAGCATCGTGCGAATGGTTTCCAAATTGCAGCTCATCTGTCCACCTGCCAGGACCCACAGAACCCAAGGAAAAGAATCTACCGTGTGTTTTCGTGCATAGAAGACACAACTGGTACTGAGACAGAAACGGGTCATGCTTTGAGGGGTTCAGCAAAAGTCAGCAACAACAAGGCAATTCGTGACAGCTTGGCTACTGTTTTGACCAACAAAGCGGCCATGCAAACCAGGGACCCTATGATGCAACAGCTTGCGATCGAAGATGGTAATGTTGAGGGCGTGCCAAAGAAACGAAAGACTACCAAACCACCGAAAGAATGCACTGAAGAACAAAAAAAGCAAAAGGAGTTTGATTCGAGCATGAAGAAGATCCTTTTCTATATTACGGTTCGCATTGTTTATCGCAGGTTCTTTCATTCCATGATGGCACCACCACATATATATATTTATTTTTGCCCACCATCTATATGTTGCAAGTGCAAGGATCCAACATCTGGCCACCAAAGCTCGCACTGCGGCCTCCAAGTTGATTGACAAGGGAATTCAGCATCAAGAGGCTCTGCTTGAATTGGTCGGTTTACCTCAGATCAAATCCCGTCGCATTCTGTGAGGCTCTCATCCAAAGCTTGGGAACAGCTCGCACCACTGCTGATGGAATCTATGCCTCGTAGGATGCCTAGTGTGACTTCCACACGTGTTTGATGTTTGCAAGTTTCCGATCTCTGAGGATGTGTATGTTTCACCAGTATGCATCAGATATACACTGGTGTATATATATATGTATGTATATAAAATATATGTATATATATATATTTGTGTATATATATATATATATATGCATATATATACATGTATATATGTATTTATTTTTATATATCTATGTTTGTGTATTTTACATCCCACTGTTTATGCAACCAGAGATCTTTGCTCCCACAGTGAGTCCATGTAGATATGAACATTTTCATCTATCTATCTATCTGTCTGTCTGTCTGTCTATCTACCTATCTATCTATATATATTTATATATAATATATATACATACATCTATTCACAGGTATAACTATAACCCCTAGGCCCTAGATCAACCTATCCATGCTTTTGACATCACAAATCCACGCAATTCTTCGATCCACACCAAGGCTGAATGATGACGTGTTCAAAGGGACATCTATCAACGACCTGATTGACCACCTTGACTGCCAAGAGACCACTCTCAAGGACTTACACCAAGCATCAGTCAGCCATGATTCACCATAGTAGATATCGGATCCACCAGTGCAGATATCGCCAGTTTCATCCTTCGGCACAGGGACATGCACATGGCAGGAGTTGGAGCAGAAGGTGAAGGACGCGGAAGTTATCATCCACGCCCATGATCGGCGTTCATTCCCCAGTGTGCTGATTTCTAGCTATGTTTTGGTCCAATAATTCATTCTGATGTGAGGCCTGGCTGCAGAGAAGCGAAGTGAAGAAGCAAAGACCAAACCAAAGGCATCGGCAAAGGCAAGGGGGAAAGCTAAGGCAAAAGCAAAAGGAAAGCCTGAGCCCACTGCACCTCCTAGTGTTTTTGGGGCACTTGAAATGAAGGAGGAGCAGGAGGATGAGGAGGAGGAGGATGATGAGGATCTGGGCTTAGATGCGCAGGAAGAGGAATGGCACGACAGCTAAGTTGTCTCTGCTATGTCAGCCAGCAGGTGTTTGCAGGGCTAGCATTTCGTTCGGGGTATCTGAGATGTCAGATGATTTTCATGGGATGCAAATGCAGAACCCGTAGCAAGAGATCACCAGCTGCAGCCGGATAAAACTGTCCTCAACTTGTAGTCCACTGCTACCATGGTCGCTGCAAGTTCCTTAGTCAATCGAGGGCTCGACAGTTGACTTCGCGAAACCAAGAAAAATCAAGGTCCCTGAAAATCACAAAGATGTTGAAGTCTCGATTTTCGATCAACTCTCTTTAACTCTATTTTCTTGGGTTCACTACGATCACTTTGATGAAATTTCAGATTCAGACATGCTCTGATTGAACCCCACTGCCAGTTTTTTGGCTAAGAGAGCAACAAATAAACAACAGAGCCTAAACCAACTTGTGATGTTTATTTGTTTTTGGCGATACAAGCTGGCCGTCTTTGTGAAGCACATGCACATGCACCAGTCTTCACTTCCACGGAGTGACATATGTTTCTGACAAATGGTTTGAAACCCAGGTGCACACAGGTTTCTGACATACGTTTCTGACATATTTTCGCCTAGATGGGCAAGACTCGCGCTGCGTGGATTGAATCCTTGCAATCCACAGTGTCGGATATTGTCTCTGAACTTTTGTCGCTACTCAGTTCTGGCGAGGCCAGCACTTTGGATCAACTTGCATGCATGCGCAGCATGTGTGTACATGGAACCTTTGACATCGTAAGGGCAAACATTGTGTGATCAGTTCCTTCATGTCTCAGGCCTCTTGCAAAGCGATCAAAAAGGTAGTGAGTCCAGAACTTACACTTTTTTTTGCATCTAGATACAGGAGTTAGTTGTGGAGGTTTACATGGTTTCAGCTTCCAGCAATGGTTAACCCAGGCAAGCTTGATGACTTACCTCAAGATTTGGTTCCGTCCCTCACTTATTGAATTCCCGACCCTTTGGAAGTAAGTGCCCCCTGTTGCACTGCAGGCCCAGCGTCCAGGAATTGGCGCACATGCTGCGATCAAAGGAGAATTCCTGGGGCTCAGCAAGGGTGCTTGAGAAATGGTCTTTGAATCAAGACTGGCGTTACTCAGCGGTTGAAAGCTAGCCAATGCAAGTGTCAAAGTCCGAAAAAAAGTTGATGATTCCATATACATGGATCTGTTTTCTCCCTTTCTTGATTTTTAGGCCAAAAGATGCCACTCCCATTTGAATTCCGAGTCGAATCGGATGCTTAGCTGAACTGATAGAATAGATACTCTATAATTTCCCATTGAATGCACATCCGTTTGCTTAGGACTGGGAGGACAGCCACGGTGAACAGAAGTGGACCCTCCAGCATGTGTTGCTTCCCCACGAAATCATGGGTTGCTTCTTGAAGAACGGGGAAACGATGAGGATGACTGGCCACGCTTCTCGACCCAACAAAATTTGGAAATTGAAGTTAAGATGTTTTGGCTCAAGTTGCATTAATGTCAACAAATGCGATTAAGAAACTTAGGACCTCAAACGGTTTTGGGAAAATGAGAAGGAGCTGGATGCTGCGTGGTTCCATAGCCACCCTGTTCTTTCTGTCACTTGGCAATGCTGTAGCTACCCAAAATATTTCATGTGAAAAATGAACCCAAACCCTTACTATTTGTTGATGCTCTTGTCCTGCTCTTGGAAATTGAGGATCCTGCTACAGACCTGCGATATGTGGTACCGATCAGGTTATACGGGGATGGAGCAGATGCTCAAAGCTCCTTGGCAATAAACGATGTAGACCGTGTTACCCATTTGAAATTTTGAGTGCCATTATCACCAAACCCAATGGTTGTCTAAGGGAAACAAAAGTATGAAATGCTGACCATCCAGTTCCCAGAGTGTCCCAGCAGCAGCACACTAGACAACCGGATATTGCGTCCAGGTTGCACCATGAGCCAGCCATGCAGAAATTTCCCAGTGCACCAGTCATCCAGTCAGCCGGCCATTGCTCTACCAAGTGAGGACCAGCATTGTGAATTTGAACTATTCGAAAAGTGGTGAGGCACGCTCTCGCGTGCTGGAAGTGTTGTCTTGGTCCTTCAATTGTTTGAGTGTTTCAGCTGTAATAGTTTAATAGTCTGAAAAACATGTTTGTTTTTGTTGAGGGCACAATGTCCAAAGAAAGTCCAATCAGCTCGATCCCTAAGGTACTGGACTCTATCCAACACATGATCCGTGGAATGTCCCATTCAGTAGAACCTACAACCCGCACCGCTTTGAGTTGGCGGGAACCTTGATCGGAGAAATTCCAGAGGGGAATGGCGGTTGGAAAGGAGTCTTGAAAGGCATACAATCCGACCAGGATTTTCTTCGGCTTATGTTCAACCTCCGAAGAGGACCAAATACGCAGTTGTGTTGTCACTACTGTGACAGCATGCAGTGGGTGTCAACAAGATCAACCATTGGCCCATTGAACAATGCAGAGTCCCTATACACTGTCTTTGGTCCACGTGAAAGCGACTGCACGACCCTGAGGAAAAACCAGTATAATCTATATGTCATTTCTTTTTGAATTTCTAGGTTGCATGTCATCCAAATAGATGATTTATGTCTGCTACCTTGTGCCCGGCAAGGATCATATCGCGGGATGAGTTTATCGCTCTTCATGGAGAAACACCAATCTGCAAAATTGCTGGTTTTCAGCCAGCGCGAGGCTTGGCTGGCAAATTGGAAAAACAGAGGTTGTGCATATTCACAGTTTGAAAAATTGCCACACAAAACGAAAATACATGGGCGAACATCTTAAAACACTCATTCATACATAGCTGTATATAACTCGTACTGGCGTGAATGCGACTTTTTTGACAAGCACCAAACTATTGAGGCATATATCCTGACTATATGCATGTGGTGCACTTGGCCCTTGGCGTTGATGCGGTGTCAAGCGTGATTTTGGATCTTTGCGACCACCCAGCCCTGATTGAGGGGAACACCAGAGATGAGAAACTCAGCAAACTACACGCAAACTACAAGGAATGGTGTGAAGCGACCAGTACCTGTGATATGTATTTCGTTTAGTTTTCAAAGTGTTTGGTTTAGTTTTCTAAGGTTTGTGGATTTACTGGGTTTCAAAGGGTTTCCCTTCAAAAGAAAATGCACATGTTTTTCAACGACTTTTTCAACTCCTAGGCGTGAGTGACCGTGCTGCCCGTAAATTTTTTACTGCAGCTGTACTTCGGCCAGCTGGTGGTGCTCAGTATACTGCTGTGAGTCAAAAAATTTTGTCGGCGACGGCGTGTCGCTATCTCATTCTATGGCTGTCAAGACTCCTGATGGAAATCGATTTGGATGACGATGTGCACACGTAGTTTGGCGCATGTTTGACTGTGCAAAACCATATGTGTTTTCCAATTTTCCAAAGTTTCTCAAACCAAAAGCAATCCAAAAAAGGATTGGCGAAAATGGGTTTATCCGTTTAAAGGGTCATCCCATGATATGTTTTTCTGAATCCGCGTTTTTTTTACAGTCTTGGTGTGTGTAAATATATATATATATACATACAAATATTTTTTATATATGAAAAGTTCCAAGGCAGCAATGTTGACTCAATGTTGCAGCTGATGCTGTGCGTGCCTTTTGTACTGTTGGATAAAAGCTTCAGGCTCAAGGCCTGTTGATCCAAGATCTTAACAATATATATATATATGTATGCCGCATGCCACTTTTGAATCTTTTGAATTTTGTTTTTGTCAATTTTCTTTCCTTTAGGGCCCACCATCGATTGAGGTACTGGTCCGGCTTGATTGGTGGACTGGCAACAATGGAAGTTCTGATGCTTCAAGGTGCGAAACAATTCACGCCTTACGTGACCTGTGAGTTCAAAAGGGCCTACTGCGTTTTCAGATCCGCTTTGAACATACTTGCGGACCGGGCCATCGCCCAGGGGGAAGCAAAATATCATATGCGGCCAAAGGCCCATATGCTGGGGCACCTTGTTTGGCACTTTTTGCCAAAAAACCCGCGTTACCTCATGGTATATGCAGATGAGGACATGATCTCCCGAACCAAACGGATAGCTGAAAAAAGCCATCCAGCTTACATGTCCCGTCTTACTTTGTTTCGCTACATAGTGCAAACTTGCATGCGCTTCGCTGGGGTACTACAAGAGACGGATGCGCGAGAGAAAAATTGGCTGGAGGCAGTTGCGCCTTCAAACTGGCAGATTGTTTTTTACAATAAACACAACCAACTTTTTTAGGACACCACAATTCTATCCATTTGACCAGGAGATTTGCTGGTGGGTTTGTGTCAGCCACCATGCTTCGAAAACCAGAACCGGCACCAGTGCATTTTATAAATACACTATCCTAATCATAATCTATAAAAATCTATTATATATATATATATAGAGATATAGATAGAGATATATATTATATATATGATCCAGGTGAGAGTCTCAAGATTTAAGTCCAAAGTATTGCGCCTGCCACACAATATAAGGCTCAAGTTGGATGGTGCTACCATCACACCAGTGCACACTGTGTGGAAAATTACCACCGCTTAAACTTGATGTCCAAGTTTATGCTGCTCACAAGATGCTTGTGATATGGATTCACTGCATGTTTGTAGGTGGAATCCTGCAATTCAAATGGCACCAGCACATTTGGGCCATGCTCAAAACTGCATCATTTTCGTCATTGATAGCTTAATTTTTCATTGCTGCCTTAATTAGGCAACGGTGGGCCCTTCTTGGTACCCAGTATCGTAATGGGACGATAGTCCAAGACCGAACTCGGTTGATCAACTTTGGCCAGGCATACAACCTTACCCATCAGGAGCTGGGATGGCCACTGACCAGTCTGTTCAGCAGTACTGTACATGTCACAAAAATTTGAAAGGGCAGCAGGTGGCATGCTCTTTAGGTCTTGGATGGAGACACCATCAAGCCCACAAGCAGAGGAGGACTTTTTAGAGGCAATGAGTTGTCCCAACACATCTGGTGTGAGCTGAGGCCAATCTAACCGAAGTCGAGGCAGGAAGGCCCTGGCAAAAGAAAGAATAGTGACCCATCGATCTTCCGGCACATGGGCATGGCGATCCCAACGTGCTTTCCATGCTTCAGCAAATGCCTTTTCAAGATCAGCTTTTGTCCCTGTGCACTGCAACTGGGAAACACACTGCCCAACCTGAACCCCTTCAATGGACTGGAGCCAGAGACAGTCATCCTCCACATGAATGATATTGAGCGGAAGCCCATGAGCAAGCACAGGACGGTCACTGACCCACGGTTGAGGAGGGTCAACAAGCACAGAACAGTCATCAGCACGCACTTCAGTAACATTGGACTGCAAAGGCCGGATCAAGAAGTCAACCCCATGACTGGACGGACCCTTAATGTCACGAAAGATTAAATTGGGGTTACGTGCCCGACGAAGCCGTGCATACTGACGCGAGGTGGACATCAATTGTTTCTCCAACAGCCGAACATGGATAGCAACAGTCTCAAAAATAGGCACAGCAATGGATTCAGCTGGAGGAAACCAGGGCAATAACTCAGGCGAGCCATGAACTTTGTGAGCACAGTTACACCACCACAGAGAGAAACCCCCGTCAAAACCAGGTGCGTGCAGGATGGCAGCCCACACATGTTGCCTGTACCCTACTGATTGCACACTACTTCCACTGCTTCGAACAAAGGCCTGCAGTCTCCGCACTTGCCGGATCCACTGAGCATGACGAACAGAACACCCATGAAACTGAGGCTGAAAGTCACCAGTTCGCCCAACCCTCACATGACACACGCGACCCTGACGTGCCTGGGTAGTTTGCACTGTGTGTGCACGACCAACCATCTGCTTGGAAACACGAAAGGGCAAGGCCTGGGAGGCATTGTTCTCAATGGTCTGCCAAAGAGTACGGTATCTATCATCAACTGAACTGGGATCGGAGTGCCAACAATCTAGAGGCAGCTCCCAATGCTTGGGCCAAGGGAAGGGACCAGGAGTGCGCCAAACGTCAATCTTGGAAGCCTCACCCAGCCGGTGAAAGCGACCCACAAGCATGGCGTGGTCTGGCCAGACATCATTGATCACATCAACTTGAATGAGCAGGTGTTGCAATTCAGGCGATATGTAGCAGAAATTCTTGCGTGTTTTTGCCTTACAAGTAGGCTGAGGAGGAATGCCCCAGCGCTCTGCAGCAATGTCTTGCAGGTCTTTAAAACCCAAACCCTCCAGAACACTGAAAACAGGAAGTTCACCACTTGCCACATTCCAATCGCCCGCCACGAAACGAGGACCAGAAGACAAAAATCCAACTGAGTCAGCAACCGCTCTCAGGAGCGCTTCATTGTGCTGCAACCTAGATGGGTAGTAATGGCTGTCAGGTTCGCCATAAACCACCCCACCAGTGAGCCAAACATTGTCGATCAAGGAAGTGAAAACCATGGCCCTAGAGGAACGCTGAATCTCCACTGGCCATGAAGTAGGCACATGGCGAACAGGCACTTTGGAGAGAACCCCAACTCCTTTCCAACATCCTGCCCCAGTGGCGGATGGCATGACAGGATGACCACCCAAGAATGGACAAAATGGCGACCGCAAATTTCAGACCAGCATTGAATCCAGCAACATCCTTGGAACTCAGGTGAGTTTCGCTTACAGCCCAAAGATCCCCATAGGCAAGGTGAGCAGCAACGTAAGGTGCTTTGCAACGCAACCCAGATGGGTTCATCACCCCTAACACAAAATTGGAACTGTCCGTGGCCGGGCCCGGATGAGAGGCCTCACCAATCCGGCACACATTGAAAAAGAGCAACAACACAACCAGCCAGGACCTGGCACGAATGCAAGCCTTGACAGGAAGGGCAATTGACACACACCCCAAAAGCTGGAAAAGCAAGGGCATCAGAGCGGCAAGCGCCCACAAGGCACAACAAGACCCCTTCATTATCATACCATTGTGGGAGCTAGGCAACTCATGCCCACCCCATCATTCACCGTCATCACGTGGACGCTTTTGCAACAATCCATGTATGTGAGAAAGCTGGTTCTCAAACATGGCCTGGATGCTCTGGTTCTGCGTCTCGATTTGGCCGTGAAGTTGTTGAGACTGAGCTTGCATCTGGGCCTGAAGATTGGAGACCTGTTGCGACTGGTGATGTGTGAACTCTTGAAATTGTCCATCAATCTGAGTCTGCTTCTGCATCAGCTGGTGTACCTGACCTTCAAGTGTACTGAGACGGTCAGGGACGTCATCTTGCTCCATGGGGGTTCCCTGAGGAAGCTTGGACAGTACCGCAGCCTGAATACGAGACTCCATTTGCTGCATGCTATCTGTCTGAGCAGGTGCAGAGGAAACTGGAATAGTTGATGGCTTGAACTTGGTCCAGGGATCGACATGAGTCCATGGATCATCATCCTTGGCAGCAGGACCTCCACACAGGGCAAGTGTTGCTGGTGAAGCAACTGGCAGCTTGACCTCAGACTTCGCAGAAACATCACCGGACTTATGGCGGGAAATCAGAACCTCCCCATAGTTGGTGTGCAGAATAGCATTGGGTGGCTCCTCAATGGCTTGCACAATCCACATCGCACCACGTCCTGGTTGAGGCGCCCCAGGTTGAAGAGGGCGACAGTTCCAACCCACCTGCTTCATCACTTTGCAGATTGCTTGTCGATCCAGGCCAAAGGGAAAAGGGCCAGCGATATACTGCAACCTCTCCCCTTGCGGGAGGAACAATGTGTCTGGTCGAACCACTTGATGAACTGCCTGGGCCTGGTCAGCAGGCACCCTGAGTCCACGACGCTCACCCATTCGTGCCAGGCCCAAGACAGCTGGATTGGTTTGCTTGAGGTGGAGCAACTCACGCAAAGTCTGCTTGGGCGCCCAGATGACCATGAACTCATTCAACACTCGCAGTCCATCTGCAGACCGGGGTTCAACATACGCACCTGCAGTGCCACTACGGTTGAGCACTCTCGTCAGGAGACAGTATGGGACCCGCAAAGAGACACAGAACAAGTCAGCTTTGGCAAACTCACAGGGCTTAAAACCAATTTTCATGAACTGGCGCTTCCACAAGTCCAGGATGGGTTCCTTCAGAGGAAGATTTTCTTCATTGTGCCAAGACGGACACGTACAACCTGCAACACCACATCGTTTCAGCTCTGGAAAGGTCTGAACCAACTGCTTGACGGGCGCCCGGGCAAAGGTTTCCCAGTCCTCCACTTCATCACGAAACACATTGATCCGGAGCGAGCAGACATCCGGGGACTCAAGTGAGACAAGGTTAGACCCTGCAAACTTTTCAACACAGCCTTGGCCAATCTGGACAAGGGATGCCTCCGCCAAAACAGGTTCATTGTCAACGGTACATCTGCAAGGGACAGTGACCCTAAGTTGAGACAGCATAGACTGCAAGGGTTGATCAGCACGATGGAATACAACCAAGGCAAGAGGCTCCTGTGAAACAAGACGGCCAGCCTTGAGGTAAGGATCAGCTTCCTGTGCGGTCATCAGGACAACCCCACTACTGACCGGGCCAATTTGTTGCGCGCACAATTGTGGAAGGACCGTAGTCCCAGATCGGAACGTGCCCTCCAACACACAAAGTTTGTGGGGATCAACTTCAACAGGAGGAGGAACTCCTGGGACATTCCGCTCCTTAGTGGTTTTCTTACCAACAGGCTTGCCTTTGTTGCCGGCCACTGCTGCTTCAAGCTCGGAGGGAAGAACCCACTTGAAACCAACATTGGTAGCTAAGGCTTTCATCTGCCGCCAAGGTTGCTTCTGCTGCATCGCTTGAATCAACTGTTCACTACCAATGGCTTTGATCGCCTGAGAGGCTCTCTGCTCCGTCAGTGCACCCGGGACACCATGCAAACCCAACTCTTCAGCAATTGACTTTACAAGAGCACCTGTTCCACCATCACCCCAGACCAAAGGGCAAATGCACATTCGTCGCTCAAACATAGCTTGAACAAAAGCGGCACGCATGTTTGTAGCCATGAAGTCCAAAGTGCGAACGGAATCAGGCAGTTCAGCATCAATCAAGATATGTGCCAGGAATGCAAGAGCATGGGCCCCACAAAAGTTATGGGATGGAAGACCGTGAGGCACACGATGAATCACAACCTCCTCAAAACCTAAGTGAAGTCCAATCCAGCGAAGCTTGCCATCAAAAATGTCATAGTCCACAATGTCATCAAAGGTATGAACCACAAGAACCATCCCAGCTGGGACCGCCCACAGAGGAAGCCAATGGGACCCTTCAAGCACGACTGCCGCAATTTGATGGCCATGAGACTTGACCTGCTTTGCACTTTCACACCATTTCTCAGTGAGGATATGCCCAACATCATCCCAGTTCAGGAAGTTAAGGCACTCAAAGGGGACAACGACTGGGCGGTGTGTATCAGAGCCTCCACTACGTGAAGCACGTTTCTGGATCAGAGTGGCAAGGTGGAAGCGCACTTCATCATCACCCATGGAGCGCCCATGGACCGCAAATAAATCAATCCGCTCATCAGTGGAGATACACTGGTGTGCAAATGGCACACCACCATCAGTCTGGGAGGCAACCGGTGTAGATTCGGCAACCGGAAGATTGACTGGGACCTGATCCTCCGATGGCCAGGAGCATTCAGAAGCATCATCACTCTCCTGTCCTGATGCCCAAATCCAGGGTCGGCTCACAAACTCAGACTCATGCAGTGCATCAGTGAAAACTCGGCGAAATTCAGTGTGAAGAGCCCAGACAGCTGCATACTTGGTGACTTCGGTAGAGAGACCAAGCTGACAGCCAACAAAGTTGATGGCAACAGCACCACATGCAGAACGGCATCGAATGTCACGGCGGGTATGGTCAAAACGCAAGGATTGGAAGCCCAGAGCAAACGCAAACTCAATCAGACAATTGATCCACTGAGCAGGAATCTCTGCCTGGTAGTCCCCAGTGACAATACGAACACGTGAACCAGCTGGGAAGAGAAGAAATGGCACCCAATGTTCCCTGACCTGGAGTGTCCCAACAAGAATAACCTGTTCAGTGCAGGCAAACCGAAAGAGACGTGCAGAATCAGTTGCTGACATCGACCCTTGTAGTGTCCATGAGAGAGTGATCAAAGGATCAACAACCCGGACATGCCGGACCAGCTGATCATTGCTGACAACATTACACTGATCGGCAAGAGCCTGAAGATGGAATCTGATCTCATCATCTGCCCAGATGCCGTACTGACCTGCAAGTAAGTTCCTTCGATCATCGGATGCAAGCATTTGGCTACGAACTGCAGCATATTGTTGCGATGTCATGAAAGTGGGACCTTTCAACGCACCTAATCCATCAGATGGAACACACGCAAGTGCATCAACAACTTCCTGAGCAACCTGAGCAGAGCTACCCGGAGCACCAACACTCACTGCAGGGCCAAGAGCTACATCAGTGGCACACGAAGGGCTGCTAGAGGCAGGGCCAGGCAAGCCGGACTCAGAACCCAAATTCCCACCAGAAGGGGGTCCATTACCCCAGAACCACGGGCGAGGTACCTCAGTGGAATTTCCAATATGCTGCATAAATCGGCGTCGTAAACAGTGATGTTCCTCCCATGCAGAGACATTGGAACACAACCGAGGAAATCCAACAAGCTGAGCTCGGAGGAAATTGATGGCCACGGCACCACATGCTGATTTGATGGCGAACGGTCGGACCACATGATCAAAGAAAGTCTCAGTAAACCCAAGGCCATGGGTCATGCGCATCAAACAAGCGGACAACATTGCAGGAAGCTCTTGAGCAGCATCAAAAGAAGCAATGCGGACTGTATTGCCCCAAGGTGTAATTAGGAAAGGAATCCAATGTGCCTCAATGCAGAACACCCCAATGGCTTGAAGTCCATCAGCCAGGATTTCAGGATGGGTGGCCGCCCACTCAGCACAGTCAAAGGCCGCAGGATCAACCCAAGCTGCAGAGACAAGTGGATCAATGACAACAACCTGCTTTGGTAGGCAGTCACCACCTCGTAGACATTCTTCAGCAAGAGAGTTCATATGGAACCTCATTTCATCATCAGCCATGGCACCCATCTGATTTCGCAGAATTGCCAGCCTATCCAGAGAAGGAAGAACCTGGCCACGAACGGCCCACAACTTGGTTGGCGAGTCAATGGTGGGTGGCCTGGTTTGGAGCATCCGGGCATTACTCAAGGCAATCAAGTCAGCAACCTCCCATTCAATCCGTGACCACAGTTCACGACTGTAAGCCCCAACATCGTACAAGCCGCGAAGGCGTGTCTGATAAGGGCCAGAGGACATATTTAGGGAATACAATGCAGTGACAGGCATCCCACCCACAAGAACAGTGTGCTCAATGTATCGAGGCAGCCGTTCAGGCTCATCGGGCATTATAGGGAGTGGCCCGGATTCCCTGGCTTGCAAGCTGTCTGCATCGGGAGCAGGCACAGCATCAGGACCAGCAGACCCAGCAGACGGACAAGAAGACGGTCGAAGACGCAAAGGAGATCTTGACCTGTCATCTGCACGACTGCCACTCAGGGGACTCCTGTGAGCAGGCACCGTTTCACTTCCACTATCACTTTCATTACCACTACCAACTGAAGGATCAGACTGGGGAGACACGACCGGGAAGACTCGATTGACCACAGGAGGATAGACGCACCAGTATCACCTGGAACATTCGGTTCATCTGAGCTACCATCTGTGGCATCTCCGGCACCCCAGACCCAGGGACGGATGACAAATTCAGACTTCTGAACAATCTCGGCAAACCTGAACCTAAGCATATCATGAACGATCTGCACTTCCGAACTCACTGTCGGGAGCTGGACATCACTCAACGCTGATTGAAGGAAATGCACAGCCATAGCACCGCATTTGTCTGACACTGGAACCAGCCTTTGCTGCCTTGAAACAAGAACAGATTGAAATCCCAGCCCACGAGCAATCTTCTCCAAGCATGGTGGATGGTCATTGACTGGGGAATCCCAAGTGTACACAGTAGCATGAGACTTGCACGGAACAACATGAAACGGGACCCAATGTGTGTCAAATCTACAAGCGCCAATGATCTGAACTCCATCACGCAAAACTTCAGGGTGATCATTTGCCCAAATTGCACATGGAAAGGCACATTCCTCCAACCAGGCAGTACACAGAAGGGGATCAAGCACGAGCACAGGAAACTGAAGGTTTGGTTTTGGAGCAGCAAGCACACTCAAGTGGTATGCCATTTCATCATCAGACCAAACATTTCCTTGCGCCTGCAGCAAAGCACAGCGATCCGACGAGGAGACGAACTGCTGTCTCAAAGCCTTAAACTTCTGAGCATCATCAATGCGAGGCACGGCAAGTCTCACAAACTGCTTGGCAGTCAATGGAAGGAGTGCATGAATTTGACCTGTGCTAGACGGGTACTGCAGAGTGGCACCCCCAGTAAGCGGGTATGCATCCACACTGACATCAGGTTGCCAGCTCAAGGTGGGAGACACGACTGGCGGATCATCAACACCCTCATGCACAACTGCACCAGAGGCACTGGTTTGGTGAGACTCAGATACCGGAAACTGGCCAGAAACAACTCGCATGGGAACATCACTACAAGAATCACCAACCTGCTCAGGAACAGGACCCATAACATGCGATGGCATACATGAGTCATCAGCAGAAAAGGTGACACCCTCATCACTGGACGAAAAGAAAATCTGCACATTTTGACCAACTTGAATTGGCTGAGTCAAATGAACTTCATTCCCAAACTGGTCACATACGGACGCAACCCTCATGGTTCCCGTCAGCTTGGCATGGGCGCACAACAGATCTGCAACAGTGGAACCTGCCTGGAAGCGGAAACTGACACCACTACCCTGAGAGTCAATAAGAGAAACCTCAGACACACCAACTGAGAAAGAGGTATCACATTTGGGATCACACACAGGATAATCGAACCACGGTGTATCGGTCAAATCCACAGCCGGTGCATGATGTTCTTCAGCTTGAGCTTTGCGAATCAATTGATCCAACACTGCAGCCACAGAGAGGTGAGACACTGGAGGATCATCAAGCCAGTTCGGATGCACCACCTGCTCAAGGGACAGGGTGCGCACAGGGTACCAGAAGGCAACCATTTCTGCAAGAGAACGATCAGAAATAACCTGCTGAGTGCACGGCCACGCTGTCTGACATTTCATGACAAGCCACGACCTGAACGCAAGCAAATGGGCCAACGGGCTGTACTCGGCCTTGTCTTTGCTCAAGTACTCAATCCTCTGCAGCACAATGCTGAAGACCCATGCAGCCTGAAGTGGGCTAGCAATCTGTCCCACACCAGACAAAGTAAGGCGGACATTAAGTCCGAAGTCAATAGTGCAATCCATACCATTCAATGCCAGGGCTTCAGATGGGTGAACATGTCGAATCTTCTGACCAGACATAGCCTCAGAGGTACTAGAGACCAAAAGCCCAAACAATCCCTTGTCATGTAGCCTCTGCGCAGAAAGACCAAAGTCACGGCAACCACAAGGGCAGGCCCTGAGCTGAGAGCCCCAAGCATGCAAAGCAGTGGGGGCAATCCCATCAGCAGACATAAGATACTTGGGGTATGTTCCGTCATTGACTCCAAATGCCTGACATTCACGAGAGTCCAAGCACAACGCCAACTCATCTCTGGGATCCCATCGGCAAATGTATGGGATAATGCATTGAATCTTGGGCAGTCCATCAGCACGCAACCATTCTGTGAGGCCAAGTTTCCCTAAACAAGGGTCATACAGCACCCACCAAGTTCTGTGACGTCGAGAGGGCCAGATGGCAGAGAGTTCAAGGTTGATGTTCTCCTTCACAAAGCCTGAGAGTTCAACAAACCGATCAAGGTGATGAGAAACAAACGGATCACTGCATGCAGGCACAACGCACTCCAGCACCAAAACCCGGACACGCAGAAACAGTGCTGCTCGAAGGATTTTGGGGAGGGACAGTGCACGGGGATCTGCCCCTCCTTTACGATCACCCAACTGGGAAAACGGCTGACATGAGAAGCCTGCACTCATAACTGCAGCGTGATTGCTCTTGGACCACACTTCAGCAATCACCGTCGGACACCCAACATCACCTGTCACGTACTCACATCCACCATGGACCTTGTGCAAGTCCACCATGCGAGCATTGGAGTCAACAGCAACCATAGTCTGCATACCAACGGCGTGAGCCCCATGAGTCATACCTCCTAACCCGCAGCAAGCATCGATCAGTTTGTAGAAGTCCTCCCATGTATGCTGTGAGTGGTACAAGACCTTTGTCCCATCATCCACCCTCAGCGATGGAATGGAGAACTGCTGCACCAAAACCACATCTAACAGAGTGAGCAAGTCCGATGCTCCATCCAAAAGTCCTGCAAGAACCATCACAGCATCAGTATGAACAGACCGGACCAGGTGGCGTTCATGCGCTGGGTCAAAAACCACCACCTTCACCACAACTGAGAGTCGGCCACCAGTATCCACGTCAGCAAGGCCCATGATGAGGTCCATGGCAAAACACGGTGAACAGGACGCTCTACGATCAGCAGGGCACGGCCGCACCTGCTGGTAGGTGTAGAGCCCACGGCTGTTCCAAACCACCAACCAGTCATGTTTGTGCATACGATTGGTCTTTCTTTTCTGGTTTCTCAAATTCTGACACATGGAGCCGGATCCAACTCGCGGCACCTTGTTTTTAAATGCAGTGCGCAGACACAAAAATCAAAGAGTTTAGCTGGTTTGTATACACACCCCTATTCATATTATCAATACCCTCTAGTAATTTAACATAGCTATTGAACATGGCCCCATTTACAGGCGATTTATAATTAGTTGATTTACCTAATATAATAAATGGTGATTTTCCAGTTCGCTATGTTAGTTTGCCAGAGGGTATTCATATTATCGCCATGAAAGTAGCCATCAGTAGCCTTCGGCCCAATCTCCAGTTTCACTTCTTTTTTTGCCCAGACGCAGCCACGATGATTTGGTAGGGATCATGTAATTCATCTATCATATGCATACATTTTAGGGAATATACTGGGATTCATAAACCCGTGACATATTGGATAAATTATGATAAATTCACGAGTCAGTGAACTTTGAGATGTTGATCATTTTGATTTGCAAGTGGTGAATCAACAATGAATCAATGTAATTGATGTATAATCACAATATCAATTCCGTTGCAACCAAAGCAACGAATATGGTAAACCCAATGGAATAAACCATTTCCCATAGAAGTGTATGACATTTAATGTTTTCGGGATTTATCATGACTTCCATGGTGGGGATGGTTTCTGTATGGAGGCTTCCATAGTTTAATTGGGGATCCCCATAGCTGGGTGGCTTATTTCATGGAAAATCCTAAAATGGATGATAATACCATGATTTTCCAATCGGATAATCCATTTTATTGGGTGGTTTCCTATTGGTTTCCTAAAATGATAGTTTCTTTCATGGAAAATCCTACTATAATAGTTTATAATATGGTACCCCTATTTTAGGAAACCAATAGGAAACCACCAAATTATTGGGCTTACCATGGCTTACCATACTATTCAACTTCAGGGTCAGCTGGCACCTTTGAGACGGAAGTGGAGCTGGATCACAAAGTCACTTTGGGGAGCCCCCTTTTTACACGACAGCAAACTTGGTATATCCAATTTCACTATGGCTCATGATACTTATAACATCGTATAACATCTAAAATCTTATAATTAAAGCTTATGAATGCGTATGATAACGTCTTATAGTTAATGGATGTTAATGGTGCTATTTTATTTGGACTTTATAAACCAACATTCACATCACTGGGGGCGCCCGCCCCACAGGGTGGGATTCGTCTCTCGTTGCCCAAGGCTTTGCTTGGCGAAATCGAAGCTGGGCGCTGGATGTGCAGGACTCAACCTACCAGTGATAGATTCCTCCAATATCCGAATATCCCCCAAGTAGTTGTTTTTTTTGCCCCAGCCTTCCAATTACCTCTGAGATAGCATGAAACAATGAACAGTTGGGTAATTTACCTTGTGAAATTGGGTTGGCTGCATATCTGACAAGTAACTGAAGGTGAGGGATGCACATCCAAGCAAGAACAAACACACTTCAAATCTATAATTCTCGCCCAATCAAACTATCTGTGGCTCAAGAAGGAGTTAGATTATTCAAATAGTTCGTGGTGTTCCGCACAAAGTATGACCGAACCATCCATTTGTTCATCAAACAAATTCAGGCAAGGGGAGGGTTCCTAAAATGGAGGACCACAAAGTCATCGAAACTGTGTTGTTTCTATCCTGGAGTATGGGGAAACCGATCGTCCTTTGTGGGGTAAACCCAATTTTGAGAAACGCACGTATATCGGCGTTTTTTTTTTTCGATATTGGATTTAGTTTGGGCTGCAACTCATAACCCGTAGCTCCAGATTAGCCTCTGGTACTCAAACAATCTCAAACATGGTCTTTATCCTCCATAAGGATGGACCAATTTTGTTCCTAGGAAAGACAATTCGATCCGAAAAAACCAAGGGGGTTCTTCAAGAGTTCACACTATGGTAATAGCCGTTGGACGCTCACAGGGGGGGTCCAGCCCCTGAAATAGTTGTCTCCACTGGCTGTTTTCCAGACGGCCTGACCCCCCCCATACCCCTTTTGAGCATTTCTGAATGGATAAAATCTAGGGGCCCAAGTATAGCATTTGTAAACCAAACATTTTTGCCCACACTCAACTTGGACAAGGGTACCCATACTTTGGAGCATTTTGGACGTTCCAAAGTGGTCAAAGGTCAGGCCCCTCAAAATATTTTGGGCATGTTGTGAATATTTAGAACATACGTTTTTATCTGTGAATCTCATGCAACCATGGACCTCCTGGATTTTAGCCATCGTTTTTTCTCCCCTGCATGCCACAGATAAACTGGCCACTTTGAAAGGTTCTCAACAGAGATAAAATTGACAAACGTGTCACAACTAACTTCCCAAGAAAACAATTTTTGCACACCTTGAATGCCATTTTTTAATTAGAGATATGCATCTATCAAGGTTAGCGGATACAGATGTTATTTTCAGGTTTTCCCTCCAAGCTTCAAGAGCAAAGATTGGACAAGGTGAGATGTTGGTTTCCAGGATTTGGTAGCCTTTTTTGGAATCAATTTCAGTGTTTGTCCTTGATGTGCAGATTAAACAAATGGATTTCAGTGAGGAAACTTTGTTCTGGACATGTTTTTTTTTACAAATATGATATATAAAGGTTAAACATGTCAGAACCGTCCCAAGTAAATAAACTTAGCCAAGTTGTTTTGATGCTGACTTGCAGAGGGGTTGATATCTCAAGATTGGGGACACAAGTTTTATTTCCTATATTTCTAGCCTAGCACCCCTCTAAGTCCAAGCAGCTATCCGGGAGCTGAAGGTGGACAGGGTGAGACATTGGTATCCAGGATTTGGCTGCGTGTTTTTTGGATCAATTTCAATATTTGTCCTTGATGTGAAAGTTCAACAAAAAATGGATTTCAAGAGGAGATAATATTGACATGGTTTCCGTTTCCGTGGTGCGAAAGCTGATAAACATGTCACATGTTTCCCAAGAAAGAAATGTGCACCTGTGGTTGATGCCAGTTTTGCAGAGGGGTTCATCTATCAAGGTTGGGGACATAGATTTTATTTTTTCTTGATTTTTCCTCCAAGCTTCGCCCCGCTTGGTCGAAGCAGCTATCCGGGAACAGAAGAAGTACAGGATTTGGCAGCCTTTTTGTTTGGGTCAAATTCAATATCTTGACATATCTTGGCCTGAAAGTTGAAAAACAATAAGGTTTGAAGGTGAGGAAATGTGTAACGGTGAGTTTGATAAGCATGGCAGCAATGCTCAACAAAATAAACTTCGTGCACCTTACAGTTTGACGCCAATTTTGCAGGGGATTTCATCAATTTCATCAATCAAGGTTGCTGTTTCTTCCTATCCAATCAAAGGTGTAGGTTGGACCTAAATTGAAGGGGGCTGACATCTGAAAATAAGATAGGCACCAAGCCTCAAGTAGGACAAAAATAAAATTCAAAAGCCCAACCTTCCAAAGATAAAATCAACGGGCCTGACCTGAAATTGGAATGAAATAAAATCCAAGGGCTGGACCCCCCCTTGGGTCCTCTTTGGAAGCGAGTACCCTTGAGGGGAACTAGGGGGGTCAGGCCCCTTGGAATTTATCTCACACATAGGATCGAGATAAAATCTAGCAAGTATGCTGATAAAATCTAGGGACCTATCGTCAAATTTACTAAAAAACTATAAACATAGCCATGCACCCCAGGGGCTGGAGCTCCTAGTCCTAGATCTCAGCTGGGAGCAAGCAACGACTACTATGGTACTTGTTTAACTTTGGGAAAATAGTTGTTGTTTTCTTACAATTCAACATAGAGGTTTAGCGGAATAACCAACAAACACGGGGATGATTCATACCTGATTCATATGAACGAAATTGGTTTATTTAACAAAACTAATCGTTTGGTTTGTGGTAGATACATCGAACCGATGAGGCACAGCCCCAAAACTAGGTTCAGAATATTTGGTTGGGTTCGTTCACATTGTTGGTGCAATCCTGGCCTCTGCTGATTCGCTGTTGATTCAACCTGCGCCTTCTTTCCCTCAACCCTGCTTCTGGCTTCTTGAACAAACCTTTTTGACTGTTTGAACCATATTCGTTTATTTACTACCCATCTTGAGCCGTTGATTCAGTTCCCATTTTGTTTGCTGTGGCAAATGGGTCCAATTGCAAATCGATCTCGATCCGTTTAAAACAGTGAAAGCCCTTTACCAGTTATAAATGGTTTTAAATGGTGTTATCATTTCATACATGGGGATACGTGGAATTCTAAGTGACTTATAACTGGTATTTTGGGCCATAAATGTACTATTCAGCTTTCAAAGCTCGCCCTTGGTCATCAAACCATACCTGCATGGCCATAGCGGGCTCGCGCGATTGCATCGAGTGTGTGGTGGTGGAAAATACCTACATCGAAACGGATCTTGACGTATTTGTTTTTTAGACGTTCACACACCATGTTTTCTCGAACAGTCCATTATACGCATTATATCGTTATATCTAGATCAAGAAACATAGTTCATCAACCGGAATTAGTCCAATTTTGAGATAGTTACCTTTAGCAGTAGCACTGCACAAGGCGGTGGCGGAAGTTTCAAAGATAGGCCACTATAAGGGAGGTGAGTTGTTGTGATGCATGGATGGCAAAGCAAATCCATTGATGGACCGAAAGGTGGTCGGAGTTGTGCTTTTCGGGGTGGTTGCGGCTGCAGTGGTCACCTCAACCACAACTGCTGGATGTAGTGTGGCGTAGAGGTAGTGCAAGGTATCATTTGTAGCTGCAGCTGCAGTTGCAGTTGCATTGTAGTTGTAGCTGTAGTTGATCTAGTTGTAGTTGTCATGTTGTAGTTGTAGCTGTAGCTGTAGTAGCCGTTGTAGTCGTAGTTGTAGTTGCAGTTGTAGTTGTAGTGGTGGCGAAGTGTGCTAAAGTGTGGTGAAGTGGTGTGTGTGCGTAGTATAGTGGGGTTGTAGCTGCAGTTGTAGTTGCAGTTGTATTGTAGCGAATTTGTAGTGTTGTGTAGTGTGGCGCGGTTGAACGTCCAAAAGTGCTCCGAACGTGGTGTGTTTTGCAAATGTCAGTTTTTTGCACTTTTGACTTCGAAATCTGCTTCCCGCCACAACGGCTTGCACTTTTTGAACATCTCAACTTCCAAAGGTGCTCTGAACGTGGTGTGTTTTGTGCATGTTGACTTCAAAATATACTTTGCGCCACAACGGCGTGCGCTTTTTCAACATCTCAACTTCCAAAAGTGCTCTGGACGTGAAGTGCTTTTATCTTTTTCACTTCCAAATGTGCTTCGTGCCACAACTGCGTGCAATTTTTCATCTCTCATCTGCCAAATGGCTCCGCGCCCGCCGCTTTAGCGAGCCTACTTCTCGACCCTCCGGAGCCACAAATCATTCGAAAAACGCAGTGAATCGCGACTACCTTTTCGCGCACCTGCATCTTCTTTCCTCCGACTCTTTCTCTTCTCTGATCTTCTTTCTTCTTCGCTTCTCTGACTCTTCCCACCTCTGCTTTTCCATCTGTCCATACTGTCGGAAGTTTGACTTCTAAAACTTCCTTCGACTATACTCCATCATTTGCAGTGACATCGCAGTGAGGTCATCATCATTTATTCATGACTATATATGTTCTATACTTTAGTTCTTAGTCTTATATCAACTTATATCAACTTATATCAACTTATATCAACTTATATCCCAATCATATCCGATCATCATCATCATCATCATCATCATCATCTTCATCTGGCCGTCCCATTATTCCACTCTTGCTCACCAGCTTTCAGAGACCCTGCCAAATAGGAAGATAGAACGTGACCTTCATCAAAGAAATCGCAAATATTAGGGTCAAATCAATCTGGCAGATGGAAATGGTACAAATGGTACAAGGTGGCTCTCTCCCCCCAGAGATAAGTTGCTTCATCAGTCCACGAACTAGTTCGATATATATGTATATATATATCTACGTACCTCATAAACCCATGAGATATAAACCAACTCTTCTCATTGAAATCCATGAATCATCCGTGTGTCTGTTGCTTAGACCGTTCTACCTCCATGGAGAAATCCACGGAGTACCGATTTTCCCAGGTCCCAAGCGACTGTGCTGAGCGGTACTCCCGGTGATGGTAATACTTGGGACGTGAGTCGATACCTCAGGCGATGACTGGCTCCAGGGTCCATCTCGAGCTGGACAAAATCCACCCATTTCTAGATGATTTTCCCATAGCTGGAGTGGGATTTCCAGCTATCCATGGTTGACACCAGAATATGGGTGTCCACATTGATATGTTCTTATATTTTCCTCCACTTCTTATCTTATGGCCCTGGCCCAACAGGTATAACTGGGATGCACCTCCTATAACTAGTTGGTCATATATCTTGAAATAATCCCAGTTTAATAACTGTTAGGCCAGGGCCATAACCGTGCAAAGTCTATGTGTGTTTATTTTTTTTAGGAGCCCAGGCACGCAAATGGAGCCATGCCACACCGCTGCCCTCAGTACTGACCCAATAGGATGCCTAAGTGGTTGCGAGTTGCAAGGGCAACAGGTGGAGGTCGCATCGCAAGCGGTTGGACAAACATATGGGAAATATATGGGGGATTTTACTAAAGCCATCTAAAACCTATGAAATTACCATAGTTATCCATGTAAACCATCTAAAGCCATCTAAAACCTATGAAATTAAGATATTTTTGGGGTGAATAAACATCCATGGGCCAGCTACTTTAGGGTACTGTCCGGGTTACTCATAGCCATATAATGCCATTGTGGGGTTGAACCGTTGCGAAACCACGTCCGGCCTGTCGCTGCTGTGAGAGGCGTCGCTTCAGCTGCTCCACCAGCGTCTTCCACAGCGCGTGGTGCTGCTCAGAGGGTGCGTGGCGGAAGAAGTTGCCGATGTGTTTGTAGTCCTGGGGGTGATGAGGCTCCCATGAAAATGCTGGATTTCACCAATATGAGATTTAATGGGACTTAAACATACTTAAAACTCATGTATGATAGCTAAGTCAACTTCTAACTTGACACAGCTATCCCATGAACTATCCCCTAAGTCAATGGTTTCTAGGGGTGTTTCATTCCTGGGGATGGAACCAGAAATCCACCCAGATACAGATTTTCCCGGCGATTTAGGTTAGGTGCTTGTGAAACTCATGTTATGGCTATATAGTAGTGGAGATATATGGATATTTTTTGAGATTTATGGGATATGATGACTATGTTGCATGATTCACGAACAATAGTCCATGCTGCACATACTAATATTGTAAATCTATGCTACACGTTTTAAATCAAGTTATATCCAGTCCTGCAAAGTAATGCTCCAGTTTGTTAGCTAAGTTGCTTTCTAACTAAAATACCTGGGCTTTATGAATATATATATATATATATACATCTACAACTGAGGGTGAATGTGGTTTTAAGAGTTTTAACTGATACAATGTGAGGTTTAAGAGAAAATGTGTGTATATATATATTATATATATTATATATTATATATATACGCATACATACGTATAGGGTTTTAGGTTTTAGGTCAGTGGGGTTTATACACCAAGACACGTGCCTGGGAACCACCCCTTTCTGGGCATGGAGGGTTAACATTTGATTCCGCAATATTCCGCATATCTCATGACGTGTACAATATGTTTATAAGGGGTTTTTAAAATGGTGTATACCCAAGTCACCATGGGTTTCAATACTAAAATTTTCTAATTTGGATGATTTGGAGGTACCCAATTTCAAGAACCCCCCATATGTATAAATGTAATAGATACTGGAATGCAATGCAATGCAATGTAATGCATGTATGAGACCAGGTATTTCAGACCCGTATGAGCAACAATACTCAGTTTTTCTAGGATGGTTGCTAGCCCTGCTAGCGCTCGCCCTTATACTCCATGATGCGGGTATAATCTTGCCAACACAACTGGGTCATTTTGGAAAAAGAAGATGTTGGTAAATTAGCATTCCGATCCCTGATTCATACTGACTTCTGACTTCGTTCTCCCTTGGAAGCCTCTGGATTCATGGTCGCTTGTGCTGGTGACACCAAGGTAGAATCACCTGGGGACCAAAGAAAATCATTGGTTTGTTGTTGATCATCGGGGTTGCCTTTGTTGAAAACACCTGCAGGAAGCCTTGACTTTTACTTTGTACCACTAAATATATAGAGTACCCTCTGGTTATTTAACATAGCCATGGAAAATCACCATTTTCAATAGGTAAACCATCTATTTCTATGGGCCATCTATACCATGGCTATGTTAGTCATAACCAGAGGGTAGGGTTTCCTGTAAAATGTCTCTTGATCCAAGTCTCTAGGAGCAAATTGCTGTGTGAACCGAAGCCACAAAAGTTACGGTGCTACAAAGGTGTCTGATGGTTTCAAAGTAGGCAAACCATTGGAGATAAATCTGCGTTGGGTAAACAATATCGAACATAATTTTAAAAGTGATGATTAAATTTCATATCAAAAATTCAAAGTCATGAATCGTTCGGGTCCTCAAAGATGTAAAAATTGTGGTTAAACAAGGGCCAGGGGCAACAACGCCGTTGAATTCTTGAACTAGATGAGCAGTGTTTCAAACCTTCTGCCATCTATATATGATCAGGTTGTACAACACCCTATAATCATCTATACATGATCATCAACTAACGTCGGTTCTGAACACTGGACAAATGATTCCTTGTTACCCTTAAACACAATGATATCTGTGCATTATAGTCGATATTCCAAGACCAGGAAGATGTTTTTTCTTGCTGGTTTTTTTTGTTTCATTCTACTCTCCTCACTGGCCAACATGTATCGTGAGGCCTGCCCCTGAAGTCAGCTTCATCAGAGTCAAGGAGTCATCCGTTGTATCTTAAGAGGACCTCCTTCCTTGACCCTCAAAAGTAGCCATAAAATCGGCTTATTATTACACAACACTACATCTATCAGTGCCAGGCTACCATTCGCCAGCCAGTAACGGTCAAGGTATGGCTGAATTCACCCAACTTCACAATGGGACCCCACGGGGTCGGGCATTTTTTTATGTGACATGTAAAAATAGGTCTACTGTATAAAGGTATTTGTGTATTACACATAGTATACATAATATACATACTATACATAATATACATAATATATATAATATACATAGTATACATAATATACATAATATATATATATACATATATTAAATATAATATATATATATATTGAATAATATATATATATATATACAAATATAATAAGATCTATATATATAATAATAATAACAATAATAATAATAAACAATAATAATATAATAATAAAATTTAATAAACATATATTTAATAATAATAATATATTAATATATATTAATATATATTAATATATATTAATATATATATATATATGTAATAGTATATAAAAATGTATAATATATAAATATATAAATGTAGAATATGTCTGTATATTATATATAAAATATATATTTTATATATTATATATCTTATACATATATATATGTTTATACATATAGATAGATAGATAGATGGATGGATAGATAAATAGATAAAATATAAATAGATAAATATATAAATAAATAGATAGATAGACATATAGATAGATAGAAATGTAGATAGAAAGAAATATATGTATCTATGTATATGAACCGTTGTCAATACCCATTGTTTTCTCTAAGCTCCCAGAAGTTCTTTTCGGGGCCCTACTGCTTTCCATAGTTTTGTGACAATAGAGGAAAGGAAGAGGAACGAAAAAGGAAAAGACAAGGCAAGGAGAAAGAAAGATAAAGAACGGAACAGGAAAGGAAGAGAAGCGGAAAAGGAAAAGAACACAAAAGGAAAAGGAGAGAAAAAGAACGGAAGATGAGAGGAAGAGGAATGGAAAAGAAAACACATGAAAGGAAGAGGAAAGGAAAAGGAATGGAAGAGGAAAGGAAAAGGACATGCAAAGGAATAAAAAAGGAAAGAACAAGGAAAAAAGGAAAGAAAAACGAAACAGTACGTATCTGGTTGGTGGTTTTAACCATCTTGAAAAATATGAGTTCGTCAATGGGGTTGGGATTATCCCATATATTATGGAAAATAAAACATGATTGACACCACCAAGCAGGTATGTACCCTCTGGTAATTTAACATAGCTATGGAAAATGGCCATTTATAGTGAGTTTTCCCATTAAAAATGGTGATTTTCCATTGCTATGTTAGTTTACCAGAGGGTATCTGTCATGTATTTCGTCCAGGAGCCGCCCAAATTCGTGAAGGCTTTGGCCACCGGCTGCCCCTCAACATCCGACAGATACTGGGAGAAGGACTCCGTGTCCTCAGATGGTTCTGGGTCAAAACCCTGGTACCGAAACGTACCCTAAAATAGCTGGTTACAGGATGGTTATTCCCTCATTCACTTGGTAATATCAGAGGTTTTGATCCATCCTCAGTCAATGGGATCCTCCTCTAATCTGTATTAAAAAAAAAAACTTCCCTCCAACATTAAACACCCCCATTCCATGGTCCCAAATATGTGGGTTCATCCTGACTTTTACATCTACTAACACCATACTTAAGTCACATCAGGCGGGAAAAGTCACAACATCCCCATGTCACAGCAGCAGCAGCAACAGGAGGAGGAAGCAGCACAACAGGAGGCAGCAGAGGCAAGCAGCAGCATCAAGCAGCAGCAGCAAGCAGCAGCAGCAAGAGCAGCAGCATCAGCAAGCAAGGAAGCAAGCAAGCACGCACGCACGCAAGCATATTACACCAATCGCCTATTGCTATGTACATATTATATACTCAATATATATGTATATATATATATATTTATTTATGTACATATACCATAATATACTAAAATATACACTGGATGGAAGCACACAAATCCAGCACTTTTGCGCGAACAAAGCGTCCGGAGGAGGATGCTCTAAATGGGACGCCTCCATGATGATAAACTCAAAAGGCCTGGCTGGGTGTGGGTCTCCCTTCAGAAAGGGGAAACTATTCTCTACAGCTATGGCCCTTTACCAACTATTTCAGTGTGGTTATTGTAAATGGGGTTATCATACAAGACTTACAACATCTGCTGACTTAGGGCCATAACTGGACTGTATTGGTGATTACCTTGTGGATATTGAACACTTTGCAATGTGCAATGGTAAAGACAGGCCATTTATAGATGATAACAATGATAATGATAAACCATAGTGAAATTGGAGTTGTGCACCAACTTAGCAGTCCAAAAAAAAAAGGGGCACCACTGAGCAAAGGAAGTCGACGACTTGCCGTTTTGTCCCATAGCGTTCACCGGCCCAAAATCGATCAAAGGCTGGGATTGCAGAGATCATCCACTTATCGATTCTGTGCACGCAACCAAACATGTTCCCATCACTTGTATAATCGCATCGAAATCCGCATCGTTTGTAGATACATAATGTGGGAATATGTGGGACACCCAGTGCCATAAACAACTACCGTTTGGGAATTCGGGGATGGTTTCTACAACCCGCCAATAAAAAAGGTGATTTTGAGAATGGTTTATTATTGGGCTTACCTCATGAATCTGCTGGTTTAAAAACCCGATAAATAGTATGGATATTTCCAACAAAAACCATAGTCATTGGATGTCATTGGGATGGTTTGTAGATACATTACCACATTATACCACAATACTTGGTGGCTCATCCCACTTAGTAATTAGGTTAGTTCACCCCAGTTATAAGTGGATAAGCCTAATTATCCAACATGATTTTGAACCAAAAACAACACCCAGCCAGCCACGGCAAGCACGACATCACCTTCGCTCAGCTGTCTGAGCGGTCAGAGGCGCACATTCCCACATGAAAGCGCTGAAGGGGCTCTCCTTGTGATTCGTTCGGCGTTCGGCCCTGGTGGAGAATTCATGGTGCGTTTCTGTTTCTTTTTGAAATCACATTACATAAAAATACATACAGTAAGAATGATATGAGTCTCCATGAATTGTTCTCAAAAGTAATTCAGAACATATACATATATATATATGTATATATCATCCGTTTGTAACATGTTACATAATTTGAAAATGATCTCTTAAAACTATGGCACATATTTGATACATGAACATCAGCCGGACAGCCATGGGATACCTGGGATAAGCGTTTTATAGTCATCCCATCATGAATTGATGATCAATGTCTTGCGTCCTTGGACACATAAAGATTGATGAGCAATGGATCACTGGATTGATGAGCAATTCCCATGATTATTATATATATATATATTGACTACAAAGTGCCCCCCCCCCCAGTTATAAGTTGGTTTATAAATCCGGCCATATCCGGCCATCAAACTAGTTCACAGTATACTCTTGTTTAGCCAAACAGTTTTGCCGTGGTGTGCGAACATGAGCTATCGTTTGCGGCCCCACATTATATATCTATATATATCCCTCAATGAAAGGGAACAAATATGGAACATTGATTGGGGATTGTGAGGATTGATTATAGATTCTCATAATTCATTAATTAATTATCAAAGATTACTATGATATTGTTTTATTATGGTTCTCTCCTTGTGAATGAGAAAAGAAAAAACATATTTTAATCATGGCATCTTCTCAAACGTCACCGGTCAACGCTCATCCCATCTGTGCCCGAAAGCTATCGTCGGACAGGGTGCATTTGGGGTGCAAAAATATGCAAAACATGGGTATAATAACCATAAGGCATACAACCTCTACAACTACGGTGATATGTTCATTGATTTCTGGAACTGCACTTGCGGTGTGGTAAGAGTGACTCACCATTTCGAAGTTGCTGTTTAATTATACACCCATCTGCAAGTTATAAACCAACATAAACCTGTGAGACTTAAGACCTTTGTCCTTGTGGATCCAAACACTTCCTAAGAAGGTGCTTAGCCTCCTGACAAGGTACGCTTGGATCCATTAGTGTATCCATCTTATAGTTTGCCGTATATATATATATATATCCCAATATCATGGACAATACCAATATGAATCCATTTGTATAATTAATATATGTATCCCAATATAAATACATCATATATCCATTAGTATATCCCAATATAAATCCCCATTACCCATACATACCCTTTGGATCCATAGGCTAAACATACATCGCTCCTGCAGTTTGGACGTCAACATCTCGCGAAACCTGCACCGACGAAGGGTTCAGATTGCGGTCAAAGATTTCAGTGGGATTGCGTTTCCTCTGGAAAAAACAAACATATTGAATGATTCAGATGTGTTCTCCAGATTGTTTCATCAACATGTTGTTTTTGTTTTGAATGGTTGGTTCCAAGAGGCTGCTCTGAAAGAAACATCTACAGGGACCATGTCTTTTCAGCATGTGTTTCTTCAAAAGAAGGAATTTTGGCTACGTAGTTTCTGGGTGATACCTTTGCAACCAGGCTGGTGAAGCGAAATGTTTTGATCCTTCAATGGGTTCATTCAAGGGAAAACACATGGGTATGGGTCAATACCTATAGATACATTTTTAGTGGGATGAACATCCATTTACCAGCTATTTTGGGGTTCACTAGGTACCAGGGTTTTGACCCATCCCCACATGTGTTTTTTGTGCAAACCAGTGTTTTTACCCACAAATGTTGGTAGGATCTGCTAGCTTTACCCCTGAAGTTCTGAAGGGAGTCCAGCAGAAAACAAGATAAAACAAAACAAAAAGACAAGAGCCACTAGTAAGTCAACATGGCTATCGAAAATGGTTCATTTACAGATGTGTTACTTATTAAAAAATATAAAAGCTAGGTTAGTTTACCGGATGGTATCGGGAAACATGGCATTTTCTGATGTTTCAGGTTTGTCACATTCACCTCAACACAAGTGGATAACCATTCCACTCCTGGCAGCTGTTGCCTTGAGGCTTTAGGTGTACATGAAAAAAAAACATATAAGTATATATATATATACAGCGTCTTTCCCATTGTTTGAATCCACATAAAGTAATGTTGTATTGGTATCTTATGTGTTCTTGTGTATCATGCAATGTAAGGGTGGTGATCTAAATATATTATTGTATAGATTGTGTTATGTTTTATATTATATAAACAAACATATATTATTCAAAGTATATGATATTATAAAAAGGTATATGGTTATATATATATTCTTACATTATATCACGGTAGAAAAACTACTGTATTGCAAATTAAATGTTATATCTAATTGCATTTAATTTCAGTCCCGTTAAACCCTAGGCTTGTCCAGTGATGACCCACATGACGATATGGTACCCGTTGACACATCATCCCGCAAACCTGGAGAGTTAAACGCGATGACGAGTAGAACACATTGCTGGTTGGTGGTTGAGCCCGACCCCTCTGAAAAATATGAGTTCGTCAATGGGAAGGATTATCCCAACCACATTGTGTTCGCTGTTTCTAGCCATCGTACCCAATGACTCAACCAAAGCAGCATTCAAATCATCTGCGCCAGTCTTTCTGACCGATCGGCAATGAAAGGAATGAACGCACATTGAAGCTATAATGTATTTGTTTTCAACTATGGCAACTTGCCAAGGTCCCAAAATGATCGAACATGACAGGTACGTATTTGTGTTCAATCAGGTAATTTGTTCGGCAATATACGTATTTCCATTATTTTTGCAACTTATGCAAGCGTTTTCAATCAGGCAATTTGATTTGCAAAGCTTTCAATACTCCGGGATGGTTTTATCAAGCGCATGTCAACAGTATATGATATCAAATTGTGATATATTAAATCATATCATATTCTGCCATAAAATGCTATAAATACTAGTACACATATATCGTTAGTACACGAGTAATGTGCCGTCCCAGGAATCGCCCTATCCAACCATCATCCAACGTTTGTCTCGGCATATCCAGTTACAATGTGGTGCCCCATAGTTGGCAAGTTGGTGCCAATAACTTCAATAACTATGGTTTATGGATGTTTATGGTATATATATCAACGTATAGTTAATGGGGTAGAAATAAACCGAAATAAAACTAAGCAACGATTCGTTGATGGTCCATCTAAGTACAGATTCTTGATAGATATTGATAGTTTCATAAGACAAATTGTCGTTGATCTCCAGTGATCTTGAATTCCATTCTGACTCATCTGGGCAACAACAATTCCGTCTGACATATTGCATCATACTGCTACATTGGGATAAAATCGGACAAATCCCCTTAATTACTAACCATGATTGCAGTGAGGTCGTAGTGAGGTCGCGACGTGAGGTCGCGACGTGAAGTCGTTGGAATTTACCCAGTATCATCCATGTGAAAAGAGCAGCTCTTTTTGGGGCGCACCCTGGTGCGTTTTCCATGAGGTCAATGGCTTCCGCCCACGTAAGGTTCCTGGCGATTTGTGGGGAAGTCACAGACTTTTCAATGGATTTCTGGTTTCAAGATGTGTTTTCAATAGGTGTTTCTCTTTAATATAAGGCGCTGCTGAAAAGGATCTGGGTAAAACCATGACGATCAAAAAGTGAGAATCAAACATTCTGTGATGATTCGATGAATTTGTGATGATTCAATGAATTGATCTAAGGTCAAAAATATTCAAAATTACTGGAAAACACAGTTTTTACCTGCAAATATAGGTTCTTCTAGACGAAGGAATGTTTAACGGAAACCATCGTTTTTTCTTGCAAGCATACGCAATATAGGGAGTTCCTCTAGATATTGTATATCTGAAAACAAATCCGGGAAATGTGCGGAGGGACATATCATTGCTAACCAGAGAGATATCCTGGAGGACACCTTTGGTACGTTCCTCGATTGAAATCTTCCGAATCTTTAGTTGCAAACAGTCGCATCTCCGAAGAGCTAAAAATCTACCTAACCAAGGCCTACCCAACCAAGGCCTACCCAGACATGCTCCCAACAAATAGTTGAACGTTTACCAACAAAAAGTCTGAATACTTTATTAATTGGGATTTCATGCATTGAAAGCAATAAGTCCCTGAGACCGCAAAATCGTCAAACCCATGAGCGAACTGGAACACCAAAACTCTGCAACATCGCAGACTTTTGCTCTCAAACAAACGGATCAAAATGCACTTGGTATAACGTCTATGATATTGAACAAACATGTTTTATGTGTTTGAAATAGATATTGGTCAGAAATGGTGAAAACACCATGTACTGCCCTTGTGAACACCGCCATAGCTGGAAGTTTTGGTCGTAAATTTTAAATGAATGTTGATCTCACCAAAAGGACACAAATATATTGACATATCTTGACCCATCCCGAATACAGGATCAGACCTACCAATATGTGGAGTCCGGGGTGGACAGGATTTCTGCAGCCATTTTTTTTCGTCTGGAGGTTGTGCTGAAGCAACCTGGTCTTCCAGTTACTGAGATAGATAACCAGGCTGATTTACCTCATGATTTTGAAACATGGCTTACCTATCCGACAGCTTTGTCAGGATAAAAACATCATCTCGGAAGAATATTCCAACCTCCTGTTACACTGGGCCAAAGGATTCCCATCAAAAAAAACACATTTGGCGATGGAAAAGTCCTCCATCAACGGAGCTTTGAATGGGAAGATCGACTATGGGGGATTTCCAATTGCTATGATTGATTACCGGAAGCTACAAGTGGATCTAGGATTATACTATAACAGTGTTATATATGATATATATATATATGAGATATCGACAGTTGTATAGGGGTGATACCCTCTGGTAATTTAACATAGCTATTGAAAATGGCCCATTTATGGTTGATTTACCTATTGAAGATGGTGATTTTCCAGTTTTTCGTATGTTTACAAGAGGGTAATCCTTTTACTAACGGGGAACACATCCAAGTAAGAAGGGAGTCTGGCCAAACGCGTCCAATGCAACTGCCCTTTTTTCACCCAGCTTGGATTCATCCTGCGGTAATCGCTGGGACACTCCATAGTAAATAAATGCTGGATTTCCCAGCTAGCCACCTTGGATTATCGGTACAAGTGGATATATTATAGCCAATATTATACCCCTTTGAAATACCCAGTTCCTCCTGAGAAGACCTTTTGAAAGGACCCTCCCTGTCTCGGTGTCTCGAGTTCTTGGGGACCCAGTAACGTTGACTCCTTTTATCTTCATTTTCACCATTTAAAAAAAAAACTAGTCTAGAGATATATTAATGTTTCAGGAGACATCACCGAAAAAAAACATCAACAATATGCACTGTAGTATTGTAGCAATTAAATAATTATATATATGTATATATAAACAATCGATTCCAAGCACAATTTTTAAATTTGCAACTAAAATAGAATACTTGGAATATAATATATATATATGTATGTATATCATCATCTCAAACAAAAGCCCCATGGTTTTTCTCACATCTTCCGTTGCCAAAAAATCGAAAAGAGCCGCCCTGCTCACCATGGCCTTGCACTTTTCTCGGAGCTCTGGTGGTGGAAGACCCACTTCCTGCAGCCGAGGGCATGTCCTCCATCAATGTATCGACACTGGGAAGATCATACCCATAGGATCCATGGTGCTGCTATATATGGTAACATTTACCATCAATATACCCCAAATGTTAGCATATATATATATATATATACCATACATGGATCCTATGTTGCCATGTTGCTATTAGTTTGATGACCTATACCGGCTACACACCCGTGTTATATTAATGAGATTTCGACAGTTCAAAAAAGACTGATTCAATCCACTTACTCATGGGGAAAACAACCAACCGTAGTTGATTCAACCCTGGTTGATTAGTTGTTCAATTGGTCGATATTTCTTAAACAACCTGGTTGATTAGTGAGTTATGATGAGGATTTAAGAATCATGCAAAAGGGCTGTTAACATTCTTTAACATGTTTTAACCATCAGAAATGGAGAGATAATCCAAACAGGTAAATTGCTTCACAACTGGGCAAAAAAGAATTGATGTGGCGGTGGTCTGGTGGATCAATCTACATTTGCAGTGAAAACAAACAAGTACCCTCTGGTTGTGACTAACATAGCCATGGAAAATCACCATGCTATTAATAGGTAAAGCATCTATTTCAATGGGCCATCTATACCATGGCTATGTTAAATAACCAGAGGGTACTTGTTTTGAGGGGGAGGCTTGTAATGAAATGATCATGTTTTATGGTGATTACCCCCCCCTACCAACCCAATGTATCCCAATGTTCCAATACATTTATTCAAGGTTTCTTTGCAGGGGAGTGTTTGCAAGGTGCTTCCCCACAGGTACGTTTTTGGTTTATACACGCTAATGTCTATCATAAACCCAACTATGCTTGGGAGTCCAGTTGGGGCTATTTCTATGGGTACAATCATGGTGACAACCTCGATATTTTGTGGGATGTATATAATAAACATACTAGTATAACAATAATAAAAAAACAAATAATGATAACAAAACAAAATAAAACATATATTATAATAATGAGAACACTAATAATAATGTAAGATTATGCAACCTTCAGAACTACGTATGTTTATATGTAATATAAACAGTAGTACACATATCATTCATATCATATGATGTCCACTATTTTTTCACTGGAACTGCCCAACCGCCCAAGCGCCGCATCGTCGAGCTGCTGTACGGTGGGAGAAACCCAGCTGCTAATGGCCACAGGCAACTCCAGCCGAGGCATCATCTGGCAAAGGAACTCTGGGATTCCCTGGGTGTGGGAAAAAAAAACCGGACCATTGTTAAATAAAGTTAAGATTCCATAGGACTTCATGAGTAGTTGAATGGAATTAGATGGAATTAGGAATTCCATAAGATGATGATGATGATGATGATGATCATGGTGATGATGATGATGATGATCATGATGATGATGATTAGTTGAATGAAATTAGATGGAATGAATAGAATTAATTAGATGTTCCGAATGAACAGTGAAAAATATTTCATTGTCCACTGAATAACAACGATACTTTTCCTGAAGCTGTACATTCACTCGTGATGCATGGAAGTGGTCGCTGGCATCATGTACAAGTACTTAAACTACGAGAATGGATAAGTTCAGTTGTTAATCATCTTTTTAAGTTAATAAGATGATCTTCGTTTGAAATGGTTTGTATACACCAATTTAGTGCAATTCTAAAAGATTAATAGGGACCAGCCATGGTGCAAATATCATAAATCACAGCCACGGCTGTCCCAGACCTCTGTAGAACTCGGCAAGACCGAGGCCAAAACCCTGCAGATCCGCATCATGAACCGTGGAAGAAGTCCGTGCGTGAAATTGGAACATGGAGACGGACATGGAGACATTTGGCATTTGAAAAAGGTTCAGCTTTACACCCAAAATCTGATCGGCCGGAAATGAGAGTACTGTAGATATCTGTAGATCATTGTTTCTTGTACGCGCTCGTGTTTGGTGGTTGCTAGCCTCGCCAAACTTGGGCTCTCTGCGCGGTGTATCCTAGAGCCAAAAAACTGCATCGCATGCGCCATCCAAACACCATGGAACTTTGGCATGGCCTTCCCCCCATAAATAGCCATAAATGGCAATTCCTTGCGCATCGTGACATAGTGCTTGCAAGTACCCTCTGGTAAACTAACATAACTATGGAAAATCACCATTTTTAATGGGAAAATCCACTATAAATGGCCATTTTCAATAGCAAACTGTTAGTCATTACCGGAGGGTACTTGCAATGGATCTTCATAGTAACCCGGCAATTCAGCATAACCTTGCAATAGCTATCCCCATGGATCAACCTATGGGATTCAACTGGGCTATGGCTTCCATAGCTATGTTTTTTTTAATCAGAGACTAGACATAGACAGACCAAATGTGTGTGGTTCCCTAGTCACATTAAAGCAACATTTATCACCAACATACTCATCATGTATAGTTTTTTTCCACAGGGGGAAAATCAGAGCATACATGAACTGAGGATCTCATAGAAACCCGGCTTGTTGGTGGATCTCATGCAGCCATCAAGCCAAGTTCACGTGCGTTTCACCCCAGGGCCCCATGGTGATCTATCTGAGAGATAACATGGTTGGGGTGCATCCCAAGTAGTAAGCGGCTCACCATCATCATCATCATCATCATCATCATCATCATCATCATCATCATAGCTAGGTACTCAGAGGTGGGATGTCCGGGATATCCTCACTATTTAGGGTGTGTATATATATATATACACATAGACTGCCTATATAGATAGATATAGAATGATATAGATAGATACACAGACTATTAAAGCTTGTGAAACTGTCATGTACTATTTCGGATGCACATCCCATTAAGTTCGCTGGGCCACATCTCCCACTTTCCAAGTGCCTGAAGCATGCGGACCACTAACCTTTCGCAAGCTCAAGAATTGGAACTACCAAATTCATCAAGTAAATATTCTGTGGTTTTCAACATCATATTCCCATCTCAAAATGGTCATACTGTGGTTGTTTGAAAACTGCCCTATGAAATGACGTTTTTTTTTTGCGGGGCGAAGTACCCCCAAGGGGCCAAGGGGCCAAGGGGCCTCGTTGCCTGGTGATGCCTTGATCATCCTAACGTTGGGCACTACCATACCCAGAGGATCAAAAGATGGTACTATAAAATCACTTATCAGTAGCTGTAGCTGTTTTTAAGCTACTTAGGGGTTAAAAGGCGGTAAGTGCATCAAATTCCCATACTTAACGGAACTTGTGTTTTTCCGATAAATCTGGGAGTCAGACTCAGGGCAACACCAAGAATCTCAAAGCCTTGTGTTTTTTTGTCTATCCATGAAGATCTAGGTTTTGAAGGGGCTGTCACGGGCGGTCAAGGGCTGTCACGGTCATTTTCCGATAAGTCAACATTTTTAGTAAGAAAATATGTATTCGTCAGGGGGTGTCACGGGTTCGTCACGGTCTGTCACGCGCAAATCAAAAAGTAGATCCTGACAAGTTTTGACACATTGGGTCTTCTAATCACTACTGTTATAGGGATGTGACGATTTTATTGATGGTAAACCAAACAAACACGATCTATATAACTACGCTTCCACCAAAGGTTCTTGCTGGTGAAATTACCACGTAAAATCTAAGTTAAACTATATTGTAATGTATAAACCAGATTTTGATTGTAAAATACCCTTCACCAAGATCTACAGTCATTTTGTTTGGCAGAACTCCATATGTTAATGATAAATATTTACTAGTGAACCCCATATGTTGGCATTACATCCCGCAGTTATCACAGTTGTTGCTAATGAAATCCCATGTGTCTGCTGACAAAATTTCTCACATTGCCTGTTTATATTTCCACATGAAACCACCATTTTTCCGCCAACAAAAACACATCCCGGCCTCATTGGGGATTGCTTTTTGTGGGACGACATCTACATGAAACCAATGGTTTTGACCATGACATTGCTTGGTTTGCTAAAAAAAAATGGACCCTTCAAGGCCAAAAAAATCATCTCCCGTTGTGCCAAAGGGCTCCAACTCTTCGAAATCCGCATCGTGCATGTCATAGACGATCACCTCAACGATCTCATATGGCGGCCCATGGCGGCGTCCCATGGCGATTTTTTGAGGAATAAAGTGAGATGATTCGGTCCAAATGACATTGAACATTTATGGAAGAATATGGAAGATACTATTCCCTAGACTTCCAGTGACTTCCAGTGACTTCCAGTGACTTCCAGCCTCCAAACCTCCCCAATCAGCTTCTGAGAAGGTGTGACTGGAAGTCTAGGGATCTGGATTGGCCGTTTTGATTCTTAGTTTTAGCCGCTAGCATTTTTTAGTCATGGGTGAACCTATCCACGATCAGTGAAAAATGGTTCCAGGGCCCATCCAAGTATTATCCACAAGACTTTCGAGAAGAAAAGAAGGGACTTGAAACCCTCAAAGCAAATAGATTAAATATAGGTGTTGAGAAGGTCTCTTGATGGGGGGGCCAAGCTCCATTCTGCTCCAATGAAGCACCGAAGGACTCCGAAGGACTGCTTCCCTATTGCTGTCTCTCTTAAAAGGGAGACACGTCTCCAAACACAGCGCCTTCCAACAAATCTGCTTATCTGCCTATTGAGTTGGAACTGTCATCTCACACTGAAACAGAAGGATGGATCATCATGATCATGGAACATCTACGTTGCTTGAAGGACAATCAATCAAACAGTTTCGAGGTTTCCGCTTCCTACCAGTACCAAGATGATTGTAAATCTACCAAAAAGTTGCTTGGGCATGGGAATCTTAATTGTTCCATAGTACAAAGCGTTGCCGAAAACAGCCTTGACCCCACTGTAGAAAATCATGCCGCTGCTAGTGTCCAAATGTGAGGACCTGCCAAATACTTCCTGAGACAGTAATTGGATCTACCGAACATGTGAGTATGCTTCAACATATCTCAAATCATGACAGACCATCCAAACTTTGGCAAAACAGACTATTTCAAGACCCATCTGGAAGTCTCCTGAAATGTGGGTACCCTTAAATCATTCATGTTCATAGGGTTTTGCCATTATAAACCATGCATTTCGGGGTACCTTCATTTGTGGAAAACCTCATCCAGCCCCTCCATCCCTTGAGATTCCGAACGTTGCAGGACGTCACAGCCTACCAGAGTTTCTGCCAACGGTCATGGGACGCCAGCCGCCCTCTGAGTAGAAAAAATTGGGACCCCACCAGTAGCTGCTTCAGTAGCTATATGAATTCAATGAACACAGCAAACATCTGGACTTGATAGACATTTCTTCGAAAAAAACAGGGTTGCTAAAAAAAACACCCCAGGTACAAGGATTGTAAATTTGGTAAATATCAGGTAAAATGACCCATTTACCATCCTTGCGGCTATCATTTACCCATAAAAGTTGTAAAGCAGGTGGACATTGCATCATCCGTAAACTGATTTGAATGGGCATTTTGGCACAACAAGTGGGAATGATGATAGCACAAATTGCTAACACCTTTGCCAAACAGTACTAATAGTTACTGTAGTTGAAAGGTTTACCCAACTTTCTAAAGTGATTTTGTTGCTAACAAGTGCCAACAGTGGATTATAGCTATAGTCAACATGTTGAGTTCGACAAATCTTCAACAAATAGTGTTTTTGTTGTCTCTCCCAGAGCAAAAAAATGTACTAGTGTGGTTAAAACAATGCCATAAACTACTTATTTGGGAATCGTTTTATACCTCTAAAACTGATGACTGAGGGATGGTAAACATGACATTGTTTTAACCACATTACACTTACTGAACCTTGCTTCAAACATCCGAAAGTTCAACGAACTGCCCAGCGCCTTGAGGAATCGGCGCACATCGACGCGGGGCCTCAGGAGGTACCCGCGGAGCGACATCTATGGGGACTTGAATCCCTCCAGAAAGATCCATTGACTATAATCCACTGTTGGCACTAGACTTGATGTTTATAGATAAAACTTTAATCCATTGACTATTTATAAAATGTTAGACTAGCTATGTCAACTAGATTGAAATATCAACCATACCCAATTAATTTTGGCATAGCCATGATCATATCAACCATCAATCTTGGAAATATCTTACCATAACCCCCAGTTAGTCTAATTACAAGGCGACTTTGCTAACAACCTTAGAAATATCATGGGAATGTCATGGGAATACAACACTGGAACCATTGTCTTCCAGCTACCGTTATCTGTCTGATAGCGCAACCAACCCCAACAAAAAACAGAAAGTAAAATCACCCTGGTTTCCCATTTCAGATGTAGGGAAATACAGATATAGATACTCATAGTAATTTCTATTAGAAATACGATAAACTCAACCCCGTAACTTGGTAGGGGCAGAATCAGCGATTCTGCACTGGGATCACTGGAGTGGTATCCCACTGCATCCCAGAAACTTCGAGGGCTTCCACTGGAGCAGATCCGCGGGGACACCATTTCTTGGAAGATGGAGATTAGCCAAGGGTTCTGGAAACCAACAAAAACACACTGGTTGGTGGTGCAATTTCACCATCTTGAAAAATATGAGTTCGTCAATGGGGTTGGGATGACATCCCATACATGACATGGAAAATAAAACACGTTTGAAACCACCAACCAGTTAACAACTTTAGCGAATCGCTCATTCTGACAATATCTAAGCATCAAATCATGGGGAACGTGCCGGGGTGACCTGACATATCAAGCTGCGCTCAGCGACCTTTTTGGACTTTATAGATCTCTATATCATAGAATATATATATATATACACATCATTAATATATATATATATGGAATACATCTGAATCTATCAATTGATAATATCGATTAGTAACATTAAAAAAACTCAATTAGTATGTTCAATGCGCTATTAGTGTATACGTTTCTTGAATAATTCAATGGTGATGCCGTTTATGACCCTTGCATCATCCAGTCGGCATGGATGACCATGACGACTCGGGACTTGAAACCTATGGTGATGACTGGGGATCCCCCATGACCTAAGAAACACCTTTATGTGATTTATGTGTGTATATATATAAATATATGATAACCATGGATAACCCACAAATTGGGGACTTGGAAACCCCTGAGTCCCTGAGTTTGGAAATCAGAGTCCCACGACTCTTGGGATCATCCTCCATGGCTCGCGCGGGGTCACATCTCCATTTGTTTGTCTTCATCGCTGTCTCAAATGCAGGCACTGGCCGGCCAGCGGACAAAAGGCATGCCATACAAGGACCCAAACACGGACACACGATGTGAGCTGTGTTGTCTTCTGTGAATCCCTTCCGAAGAATCTGACCGGAAGGTCCAGTGGGCTGAAGAAAGGAACATCATAAACATCATAAACATATTATATCATCATAAAATCACAAAAGTATACAAAAGTGATTTGAGTCTTCCTCATCACGAACATATTATATCATATTATTAACCTTCCTCATCTTTACATCCTTAATTGCTTTTGCCATCCTGAAATATATCATGATCAACCCCTTACTTCTGCCTACTTCGAACATACCACCATTAATTTTATGATTTGATCCACTGATTTGGGGAACTGGGGGCAACCCAAAGAGCTGGTAATCCTAGACCTTCCCAACCCGTGGCCTGGTGTTTTGCCGCAGACTTTTACCATTTTTTGGGGTAGAAATGGAGGGTTTAGGGTTTAGGACATCCCGACATCCAGTCAACCCTGAAAGTGGAAAAGCCACACTTCCCAAGAAGTTTTTAAATCCCTAGAATTCCAGTCACAGGGTAGGTTTCAGGGGTTCAGGCCTACCTTCTCAGGTGTTTAAGGAAGTCTGGGGACTCTTTTTTTTAACCCCCCTGCATTATTGAGGAATCATCACGCCTAATACCTGGTGACTTACCCCTGCTGATCATAAGTCCCCTCATGGGGACTAGTTGGACACTGTCACATGGGTGGTGCGCTCAGGTCTAACTAGCTACACATTGGCTGCCACGTAGCTGCGCAGGACAATTCGGTGTCAACAAAAAGCGCTCTGGTCCGACTACTCCTAATGCTACATGGACTAGCGAAGAATATGGGCTTGGAAGATGACTAAAATTGAATTGTTTGATTCAATCTTAGTTAATCTTAGTTTCTAGGGTAGGGAGTCAAGGACCTATATGATTCATGCGTGCAATGTTGGGTTGTTGGGGACTCCCCCAATCGAGTATGATGGTCATGGTCTCACATATTGGGTAGTAAAATAAGCCCCAATGACCATCAACCACATCTGGTTGGTGGTATACCTACCCCTCTGAAAAATGATGGACTTCGTCAGTTGGGATGATGACATTCCCAATATATGGAAAGTCATAAAAATATTCCAAACCACCAACCAGCCATTATTATCCATTGATAACCATTGTTAACCACTATTAAGCATTATTCATCTGTACTAACCAAACATGTTTATTGTTTTGTTGTGATCACTTCACCAGCAACGCTCGCATCACTCATATGGGGATGGGTCGCCAGCTGAAAAACTGTACCAGGAAACACCAACAACTTGATGACAAACAAAGCAACATATACTGTATAGTCATCCCATACTGTATATCAAATACCAATAACATATCCATAAATATATATATATATATTATTGACTAACATACTGTATAATGTGATAAGCTCAATATCATAGACCATCCCAGCAACCAAAAGGGGCATCAAAAACATCATCTTACATCATTAAAAAAGAAATACCGTAGATTCTACTGTATGTGTATGTGTATGTGACCCAGTCACAATCCCCAACTGGGATGCATGATCTGGTTGGTGGTGCAATTTCACCATCTTGAAAAATATGAGTTCGTCAATGGGGTTGGGATTATCCCATATATGAAATGGAAAATACAACACGTTTGAAACCACCAACCAGTGATTGTTATCATTCATTGTTATCCCAGAATTATCCTGAATGGAATGATCCCATTCCCCATATGCCCCATGGTAATATTTACCAACGCCCGAACAAATCACCCAGCCATGTAGGTCAATGTAGGTAAATATACCAGCACCATGGAGCATCTGGCTTCTGTAATGGACCTGATCCAACATCTCTTGTCTTGTCCTGTGCAACGCCGATATTCTCGGCTCGCGGATTCTGGGTCAAACTTTGGGTACCAGGATTCCACAGCATGCCATGAGATTTTTCGGTCAATTCGAAGGATCTGTTATCTCAACTCATGGATAAAACTCCGGTCTGTAAATGACATGAACATACATACTGTATATATAATTATATATATACGATATTTAATCTATATATATATACACACCATATATCAGTGGATCTTCATCCTCTAATCCATTCAAACAGAAACATAGAAAAACATCGACTTTCTGCATCCCGCCGCTGCATTTGCGGAATCTCTGAACCCGCCGGTCGTCACGTCATCTGAAGGAGTTTCGGACATCGAGGATCCGCGCAGCCATCTCGTCACAACAGAAAGGTTGACAACAGTCTGCCACTTTTCCCAAGATATTGCTGGCGGCAGTAGACAATGTCGATCTTGTAGAGTTCTTCCTGGCAATCCGGTCATGGAACCCTGCTTGTTAATTAGCGTCGAAGTGTTGGATAAAAAACACCAAAACTTTGCCACGTGGCCATCAACCACCAGCAACTTTGGCTGCTTAAATGGCAAGTCTCTCTGTTGCAGTATTTCCCTATGGTTTTTGTCTTGTCTTGTGAAAAAAACGTGGAAACATCCGGTGCACCCAACATGTTTTGAATGGTTCAAGGTATGGCAACAACTGGCTAAGTTGGTTCATAGCCACGGTGAAACTATGACTTATTGTAGATATTGTATCTGATATCTATAGTTAGGGGTCTATATAAACTCATAACTGGGGGGGGAGCACCACCTTGTAGACCATAGAAGGGTTTATAAATCACATGAACTATATGAAACCACTGTTAAAGTAGTTATGTTTGCCAACTCAGGTACAGTAATTAATATGTGTTCTTTACAAATCATGAATCAACAGGGTACTTCATGTCGCAGGATCAAAAAAATCAGTGAAAGTGCGATGACCTCAGCAGGGGTATAGCCCATATGCTCACCATGGTGCTGGTATATGCACACCTACATGACTGGGTCATAAAAATGGGGCAAATGGTGGGATTCATATTCCAGCACCATGGATGATTCATAGGGGTATACAATATAAATACCAATGGCAATGGCCGTCATGAGTTCTTTTTGTTGTACATATCATATAGTGAAAGTGATGATGATGATGATGATGATGATGATGGTGGTGGTGATGATGATGATGCTGCCGCTGATGATGATAATGACCAACTAAACATATGTGTTGCTGTATCTATTCTATGTGTTAATTGTATTGGTCAACTAACGTCTGTATGTTGTGTTACATTCATTCTTGTGGGTTTATCTTTAATGATGAGTTCATATGAACATTAAGTGGACTATATATATATAATTATATATATACACTGCGGTCCTTTTAGTGAAGGTGAAAAGGTGAAATCTAAAAAATGCTGTAGCCACCATCGGAATAAAGCAATTCTTTGACAAAACAGCATGCAAACAGTTTAAGCAAGACTGAATATACAAAACAACTAGAATCAATATGTATATTTGGGCATTTGTTTCAGAGTTTGGCGTGATATTCTGGACTCAAGCATAAACATGTTGTATTTGAATGTATCGTTATAGTTTGGTCTAAAGTTTTTCCAAAATCAATTTGTCAACTCCTTTAAATTGAGCTCAGTATATATTACAGTGATGAATCCCATGATAATAACAATAATAACCATATCAAACTTATCATCATCCCAGTATGCCCTTGATACATTGATTGATTATCTCATTAGATAGAGCACGATATGTTATATGTACTATTAAATAATGATGGGATGACATTATATATACGTACGTGCAATGATAATGAATAATGAATTATGACATATTTATGATCTATCAATCACGAACTGAACATTTTATGTGTTGATTATTATAAAATATGTATAGCATATGATGATTATCATTATTATATGATATTGGATGGTAGTTGCCGGTATTATATATACATGTGCATGTATATAATATAATATAATTCATTGATGATTGACAATCACTGATAGATAACAATATCATTATTCATTGTTGATTATATATACCCTCTGGTTATGACTAACATAGCCATGGAAAATCACCATTTTTAAGTTCGGTAAACTATCTATTTCTATGGGCCATCTATACCATGGCTATGTTAGTCATAACCAGAGGGGACCAATTAAAACCAATTTAAAACCAGAGTATATATCTAAATATATCATAATCTATATAAATTATATAAATTCCTGCATTGATGCTATCCACCATGGAAGGTTTCCAAATTACTATAACTAGCCACATTAATCCACATTGTACTATATGGTATCATATTACTATTATCATATTAAATTATAAACTATATATATATAACATAAACCAAATGATTAATCTATAAGTCTATAACCCATAAATGGTTATTAAAACCTATTAACATATACTATTATAACCATGGCCATGTTAAATAACCAGAATCCCCCTCACTTCTGCGCCCAGCATCTTGACAATCACCGAGCTCCGGCGGCGTTCTCGCACTGGGATATTCGGCATCTGACCAGACCTCCCAGACGTCAGGTGGCAAAAAGAGCGAGTTGACCATGAAGAATGGGACTGCCCTAAGCAACAAACATATGGATCTATAGGTGATTTATGGATAACCAACAAAGATATATAGAGTTGCAGGAGATTTATGAGTGGGTTCAAGTCTTTCAAAACATGTTTTAAACTTTCAAACAGTTTAAAGAATGTAAAAGGAATGTTTATGTGAGAAAATGATGATCATAACATTGGGAGTTTTATGGCTAATATAGGGCGATGTATTCCCAACAAGGGATTTGTTTGCTGCTAGCTGAGTTGGTCTATGTAGTTCACTACAATAGCTGTTTTGTTTATGGTCCACTTCCTCGAATCGATATCTTCGATAGCCGGCCATGTGTGGAGATATCTACACAAAACTGGGGACTTCAAGCACACCCTCAACCAGCAAGTAGCTTTGGCTATGCAACCAGGATTGGTCAATCCGCGGTCCATATCTTGGGGCTTCAGTACCAGTGTCGATTCTGGATGTTTGAACCTCCTGGTTGCATTGGTGAGCTCCTCATGGCACATGGTCGCTACAGTTACAATCCCCCCAGCTTCCGGGACAGAATATCCTCGCATGCTTTGTGCTTTAGCAGCAATGTCCAACTTATACCACATGTTGTAAAATGTTATACCTGCGTCTTCCAATGTATGCAAAATTATTGCCTTGTCAGGAATTATTGCTGACGGCATGTTTTTCTGCCTCCGAACAGTTTTTGCATGTTTGTCATTTTGCATGCGTTTGCCGGTTTTGAAACGGCGAAAAAACCCAACGAAACGGCGAAAAAACCCGACGAAACGGCGAAACAAATCAAGAGCCTAAAATGTGGAAACTGAAGCGGCGAAAAAAACTGGAAACGGCGAACATTTAGGCAACCGGCGATATTTATTGCTGTTTCGGATTTCGAGCGATAATTTTGCACAGGTGGATTATCCAGGTATTATCAAATGTTGCTTCCGCCAACTCGGTATTACATGGTATTACTGTATATAAGAGACCTTCAATGTGTGGTTTCTTCTGGAAGCAGTAAAGCCACAAGTAATCCAACACACTGATTGAAATATGATGTAGTACGGTACCACTCATATTTGTAGTCCGGTTGTCATTGGGAAAATCATGTAATTTTCAGTAAAACAACATCATATTTACTGCTTAAAATGACTATGTTTGTAGGTACGCTTAAATACGCCATGAATGGTAGGGCCTGGGGAAGATGGCCATCATAATTCTCAGCCAGAAAAAAGTCTTACCAGCAGCTAAATCCATATGGCCTCACCTAGTGATGCCATTGTCATCCTCTGGTAATCTTTAAAAAAATGCTATAGAAAATCACCGGGTTCCATGCATAAAAGCATCTATAAATGGCCCATGTTCAAGAGCTATGTTAAATTACCAGATGGTATCTGGATACTCATTTGGAAATGGGATGTTCCGGGACCCTCAGTTACCAATCACTCAACGCAAGCCATGACAAATGGAGAAATGGCAATTTCATGCCAGCAGAAAAGAATAATGCGAACAACAACAATGAAATTGAAATAAGAGAAGGAGGATTCACGAACAAATCAGTGGGTAACGCGGAAGTCGAACGATTCAAACAAATGGGGGGATTCAACCAACAAAAAAATCAACAGAACATATACAATTCAAATTTCAAATACATCAATACCTGGTTCCATCAATCATCCAACAAGCCGACCACCTGCAAAAATACAAACTTTTTGTGTGTGGGATTTGAAGATATTCCGAAGCATCGAAATGTGAGCCAACAACCTTTAGCCAAATGTCAATGGCTAAAGTTCCTATGGCACTATGGTTCATGATACCAAAAAAACTATTATAATTATTGAGTTGTTTTCTTGATACATAAACGAGGTAAGTGAATCTATGTGGTCAGGTCAGTGGAAGCATCGATGCACCAGCGATTCTTTGGGGGAGTGCATTGAAAACCTCGTTTTACGAAGGAGGGGATCTATGGATCGATCTAGGGCTGCCCAAAAGAAATCCCCTGGTGCATCGATTTTGTTTCCCAAACAGCTTCAGGTGCAAAGATTTTGTTTCCCAAGCAACTTCAGGTGCATCGATTTTGTTTCCGTGCATCGATTTTATTCCACAAGGTGCATCGATTTTTGTTTCCACAGACTATCTCCAGCTGCGTCGATTTTGTTTCGGAAATATCCCGAGGTGTTGCGCCATTTTTGAAAATTTCAAACAGCGCCAGTTCCATCGATTTTGTCTGATAGTGATGATCATACCAGCCACTCTTGCGTCCACTTACCTCACACATAGATTCACTTACCTCGAATGTAAAGATATATACCCTCTGGTAATTTAACATAACTATGGACAATCACCATTTTTAATGGGAAAATTCACTATAAATGGTGATTTTCAATAGCTATGTTAAATTACCAGAGGGTATATATAAACCAACATTCACATCATGGGTTCCCACCTTGCTACCAGACCTTAAGCGTTTGCGTTTTAAACGCCGAGCCGCGACTTGGAATTTCGCATAGGACGTTTCAGCTCCTTGTCGATGGCTTTGTGCGCTGCCTATCAGTTGAAGCCCCAACTGGAGAAGCCCGAAACCAACCTAAAAAAAAACGCCATGACATCACGGCATTTAACCAGTAAAAATGGTGGTATACTAAAACAATGGGGGATTTATGTGCTGTTAGTTGGTTTTAACATGTTTTAAACAATTCGATGGCTAGTTAGTTACAGTAATTTGGGATTGATGTAAATATTAGGACCATCGTATTGCAGTATTTATGAATCATACAGGTGGATACATAATCTAAAAGAAGATGCCCCAAGAGGTTAGCTAAGTTGGTGGAAAAGACTAACATATCACTAGGGTTTATGGTAGAGATATGTATATCGGGATATATCGGGATATTATAGGTGATGGAGTTTCAAAACCAACAAATATAAGTGGGCGGAAACCACCTTCTCATTCGGACTTTGCTATCCTACATCACCCAACACCTCACCATTTTTGTTGGTTCTATCATGGCTGATCCCAATTGTTAATGGTGAAATAACATAGGTTTCAATGGTTAGATTGCAGAACCTTCAATATACAAACTAGGGGGGCACTATCTGTTGGTTTCATCAAGTTTCCTATGTCTAATGGTTAAGTACCTATTAACTGAGGGGCGAAGCAACCGTTCCTGCCCTGGGAATCAGGAAGGATTGGTGCGATACTGGGCACTTGGTAAGTTGGATATGATGATAAATTTGTAACGTATATGAATATTATATATATATATTATATACATAATTATATATAATAATATATGTGTGTAAACAATGTGTATTATAAATATATATATAATATTATATATATGTATGTGTCCATCCTGGATAAAACAGCAGAGATAAGCTTAAAAAGAACACGAACAACAGCAAGGCAAAGCATCATTCCGCTGTGAGGCAAGTGGGTTCAGTCAACAAGCGCCGTAGCTCCCAATTTCAAGGAGAAAATAATTCACCTGAAGAATCTTCACTTATGGCCGTTTACCAGTTATAAATCGTTATGTTTTATGGTTATAAATTGTGTTATTTTCCATAAATGGGGCGATGTTTCAAGAATCACCCATTCATCTTGATATCAACAAATCAAGCTGAGGTTTACCCAGAGTTCAAATTGAGCGTCCAGCAATGTCCAGCACCGATACCCAGGGACCATGACTCGTTCGCACCTGGAGATGTTTCTCATTGCTTCTCCTGTGGTGCAAGTACCTCAAATGGCAAGCACACTTTGGCTTCTTGATGATGATGATGATGATGATGATGATGATGATGATGATGATAATGTTGACGATGATGATGATGATGATGATGATGATAATGTTGACGATGGTGATGATGATGATGATGATGATGATGATGATGGATACCACTATTTTACAGAAGGACGCAGTCTTAAGAGGGTGGATGACAAAGACAGAGCAAACGCATCACATAGTTAAGGATGCAGGGGCCAACCTCGCTTCAAGGAAACCTATTGTTGATCTTCCAATAAACATACCCCTAGATTTGTTTTGACAGAGAACATGCTCTATATATGTCACATACATGAAAATGAACATGCAATGTATATATGTGTAGTAGGTACATACGCTTCAAGGACAACTTAATATATCATGTACCCTCTGGTAAACCAACATAGCTATAGAAAATTGCCATTTATCGTTGACTAACCCATAAACAATGGTGATTGTCGTTATGTAAACGTTTACCAGTAAACGTTTACCAGAGGGTATATTTCCATAAATTTATAAACATTCACTACGTTTCATTTCCAAACCATCCTCCAAGATGCTCCACGAACTCGTTCATGGAAATCTGTCCGTCATGGTCCGCATCCTGGAAGCTTAGAGGTGGTCAATCAAAGGATGTTGTTTTGTTATGTCACTCCAATTTCAATAATGTCACTATAAACCAAGCATATCCAATGGAGTCTAGTTTGAATCCTAGTGAAATAATGGTTACCATAAAGCCTAGTTGTTTGAGATACAAACCATCTTAGCCAACTACGCTAAGAACCACCTCGTAGGAATTCAATCTGACCATGTTCATCAGCCCATTCCAAAGATGCCAGGGGTATTCGGGTATTCGCCCATCCAGAAATATCAACGATTCGCCGTTCTATAATGATTTCATAAAATAGCAATGAAAGGTCTAAAAGTCTAAACACCATCCAACTGTTATGCTGAACAGGAGTTGTTCACATCATATACCCTCTGGTTATTTAACAGTTCGCCATGGAAAATCACCATCTTTAAGTTCGGTAAACCATCTATTTCTATGGACCATCTATACCATGGCTATGTTCGTCATAACCAGAGGCTATCCACTCAAAAGTTTCTGATGGTTTCCAGCATGTTCATCCGTCCATTCGTCTCAACTCACCATCTGGCCATGGCATCCGTCCCAAGCGGTGCAGCAAGCGTCCACTTCGTTCATGACTTCGTCAAGCTCATCATCGGCCAGTGAGTCACCCAGAAGCATTTTGAGCCTTGCGGGATCCCGTGAGCCTTGTGTTTACTCAGCTGGTTTTATTGGTAATCCATGTTACTCGGGTGTATCCATATCTGTGTATGTAAATATGAATATACACACATATGTATAGCCTATGTATAAATACTATATATACATATATGTATAAAATATGTAAAAATAAATATGAATAAGTATAAATAGATATTGGACTGTACATACATTGATGTATCTTTGCCATAAAACGTCAATGGTACATAGGCCTCAGATATGGTAGCTATCTCCATTTTAAGTACCTGAAGTGGCCATTGATCAATGGAAAAACAATAGGAACAAATTCAATGGTTTGGGGTACCCATATTCTAGAAAACCTCCAGTTGTAACTTGTTTTTACGAATTCAACTAGAACCATGGTTCTTGACCACATACAATTGGCGTAATCGTTATAGTGGTACCAACCCTGGTGCACATCCTAGCAGAAACACAAATTCCCTGCACTCTGGGGTATCTTTCTCAGTTTCTTAGATCCTCAGCTTTGTTGCTTAACTTTGAAATCTTGTGCAGGTTGAAGTTTCCTATTTTTGTAGCTCAGCAAAAACCTGTCTCTTTCCAACTTCAAATATCTTCAAATCGCAGGTCGCTATGTGGGGTTTCACCCCCATTTGTCGTGAAAGACACGTTTCTTACAGCTTGAAACCACGAATCTGGGCAAACTACAATATGTCCAAGACCAGAAACAAGCGATAGTTTGGGATAATTTCCCTGCCCTTAGTGACTTAGTGAGTCACAATTGTTTTAATGGGATTTGATGACGGTGAGGTCGCGCTTAATTTTTGGGAAATCGAAAGTTTCAGTGAAAATACTAGGTATTCAATCTATTTCAAACTCAAGATTTCGAACATGGTGTTCACAATAAAATCCATGGATCCCATCGTGTTGTTGGTTAAACCTTTTCATATTTGAATTATTGATCCAAGAAGTTGAAGATGTTCAAAGCAAGGATCCTTTGGTAATCAAACATGGTTTGCTGGAAAACCTCTCTGTTTACACCATGGATTTTACCATTGAAATGCCTGTTTTTCGGATTTCCCAGCCATGCGGGCTCCGACACCGGAGGGTACGACTCTTGAGGGGACACGTTTCGGGACAGGTTGGGGGGCGCAGCACCCAAATCTTTCATGTCATCCCGAAAAAGGATTAAACAAGTTGAAAAGTAATGCTCGAAACTACTGTATTTAGGACAATAAAATCCCCAACATATTTGCCATATGCCATCATCTGCCATCCTTAATCAGTTGCTAAATCTCCTTGGGCAACCGGATAGATCCGGTGGCGACCGAGCGGCTTCTGTTTGGTGAGGTACCCCGAATTATCCACGTCGAAGCGTTGAAACGCGCCCCGTAGCAGGTCGTCGTGGAGGGAGATGCGGGTGGACATCATGGCAGCCAAAAAGTCCTCGACGTACCACGACGCCATGCGCAACAATGGAGGGGGTTAGTTCACCGGATGTAACTGGTGTGTTGGGGTACACCCTGAAATGTATCTGATAAGTGGGGGTTCCTGCTTAAAGTTGTTTTTTTTGAAGGGACGTGTGGTTGAGGATATCTCATGGTATATCATGGTATATCGGTATGCCTATATATATAGTATACCCCAAGACTGTCTCGATCCGTTGAACCGAGAAACAAGTCTGACACCTTCTAATAGAAAGGGAGTCAACATGACTTCACCAAGACTGGGAGATTCATTACCATTTGACTCTTTGGGATATGGCTCTCCATTTAGCTCTCCATTTAAGGACCTTGATTATCCCTGGCTTCACCACTCTGAAAAGCCACCGATTCAAGGGGAAAGTACAGTAGTCTTTCAACCCAACCCCTAGCCCGTGCCACGGTCTATGTTGTGGATGGATGGATGGTAGATGGTAGCGTATCGTTCTATGAATATAGATATCACATGATATCACCAGATCATACAAAATCAGTGTAATAGCCTGGATGACATAGTGATTTATATTATAGTGGTTCTTTACCTGTTGCCATTACAATTTACATTGTATAAATGTAATCCGGATTTTGTTAGGTGCACGGTAATTTCGCAAACCTCAGCACTTCCCAACCTTCCCAAGGAATTCGGAAAGTCCTAAGCTTGAACCAACTACAATGACGAACGTATCAACATAAGATGCCCAGCAAAAAACATGCTTTGATTAGGATACAGTATGATACTTGGTGGTTCACTACCCACGGATCGTTTTTGTGGGTTAGTTCACCCCAGTTTTTTTCGTGGACTAACCCTACTTATCCCGTAGAAACAACAGGGTTATAACCCACGGAGGATCATCCCACACATTGCTTCACTGCGATGTGTAAAAAAACCGGGGCTCGGAAAAAAACCGCTGCTGTGACATCCCAATTTATATCCATTTATGATTTTGAATTCGAAGTAGTAGCATGTAATAGCCCCATTTACTAACCTGAAAAGCCGGTCAAACATGGTCTGCTGGGAAAATCCAGTATTTAGAGCAATGAGTTTCCCAGCTAGAAACCTCCATGGCTAGTGCGGGGATTTCCAAGCCAGCCATGTTTGATGACACCAGAGGGCAATCCCATTGAGCCGCTATTAAACACGATCAACCATTATCAACCATTATTCACAATTACTAACCATTATCAATTATCAACCATTATTAACCACTAGTATCAACCTCTATTAACCATCAGTGACCACTATTAACCATTGTATACCACTAGGGTTGGCTTATCTGTTCACCAGGTAAGTCGTCATCCCTCAATCCCTCAATCCGTTCATCCAAGCGTCAGAGTAGTGGATTTCCTCATCACCTGAGCAGCTCAGCGCGCAGGTGTCTTCCCACTCGGATTCACGGTGACGAAAATGATGAAAACGGTGAGCTGGATTAGAATACGGATTGGGTGTGTAGGTGAATTATACCAGTAGTACCGCACAAGGCAGTGGCGGAAGTTTCAAAAATAGGAAACCTATAGGAGAGGTTGGTTGTTGTGAATCAGGGATGGCAGAGCGAAGCCACTGATGGATTGAAAGGTGCTTGATCTCTCTCACTCTTTCTCTCTCTTTCTCTGACTATCTACCTACCTACCTATCTATTTTCTATGTATCTATCTATCTCTCTATCTAGCTATCTATCTCTCCCTCTCTCTCTTTCATTTGATTACCCTATCTATCTATCTATCTCTCTCTCTCTCTCTTTCATCTGTCTATCTGTCTAGCTGTCTACCTGTCTATCTATTTATCTATCTATCTCTCTCTCTCTCTTTCTCTCTCTTTCATCGGTCTATCTGTCTAGCTGTCTAGCTGTCTACCTGTCTATCGATCTATCTATCTATCTGTTTGTCTGTCTGTCTGTCTGTGTACCTATCTATCTATGGTGCACCTAGCTACCTACCTACCAATCTATCTATCTATCTATCTATCTATGTATCTATCTATCTATCTATCTATCTATCGATCTCTCTCTCTCTCTCTCTTTCATCTGTCTCTCTGTCTAGCTGTCTACCTGTCTATCTGTCTATCTGTCTATCTGTCTATCTGTCTATCTATCTATCTATCTATCTATCTATCTGTGTGTTTGTCTCTCTGTCTATCCGTCGACCTGTCTATTTAGGGTGCAATGTCATTCAGTCTAATGTAGTGTAGTGTACTGTAGTGTAGTGTAGTGGAATGTAGTGGAAGGTAGTGTAGTACAGTGTAATGTAGTGTGTGTAGTGTAATTTAGTGTAGTGTAAATTAGTGTCGGGGAGGGTAACGGAGTGTAGTTGTAGTTGTAGTTGTAGTGTAGTGTAATGTAGTGAAGCGTCGTGGAAGGTAGTGCAGTGTAGTGTAATGCAGCGTAGTGGAGTGTAGTGTAGTGTCATGTAGTGTAGTGCAGTGTAATTTAGTGCAGTGGAGTGTAGTGGAGTGTAGTTGTGTAGTTGTAGTGTAGTGTAGCGGGATGTAGTGTAGTGTAATGTCGTGTAGTGGTGCGTAGTGGAGTGTAGTGGAGTGTAGTGGAGTGTAGTGAAATGTAGTTGTGTAGTTGTAGTTGTACTGTTGTGGAGTGTAGTGTAGTACTGTTGTGGAGTGTAGTTGCGTAGTTGTAGTTGTACTGTTGTACTGTTGTTGTTGTTGTTGTTGCTGTTGCTGTTGCTGTTGCTGTTGTCGTCGAAGTTAGGGTAGTTAAGTTAGTGAAGTTAGTTAAGTTAGTCAAGTTAGTTAGTTAAGTTAATCAGTGTCTACTTTTTCGACATCTTAACGTCAAAAAAGGCTCAAAACCCTCAGTTTTTTACACTTTTGACTTCGAAATGTGCTTCGCGCCACAACGGCGTGCACTTTTTCGACATCTCAACTTCCAAAAGTGGTCCGAGAATGTGGTGTTTTGTACATTTTGACTTGGAAATGTGCTTCGCGCCACAACGGCGTGCACTTTTTCGACATCTCAACTTCCAAAAGTGGTCCGAACTGGTGTTTTGTACATTTTGACTTGGAAATGTGCTTCGCGCCACAACGGCGTGCACTTTTTCGACATCTCAACTTCCAAAAGTGGTCCGAACCTGGTGTGTTTTGTACATTTTGACTTGGAAATGTGCTTCGCGCCACAACGGCGTGCACTTTTTCGACATCATAACTTCCAAAAGTGGTCCGGACCTGAGGTGTTTTGTACATTTTGACTTGGAAATGTGCTTCGCGCCACAACGGCGTGCAATTTTTCATCGTTCCTGTGGCCAGCTGGGTCCGCACCCGCCGCTTTAGCGAGCCTACTTTTCGACCCTCCGGAGCCACAAATCATTGGAAAAACACAGTGTTTCGCGACTTTCCTACCTTTTCGCGCATCTGTATCTTCTGTCCTCTTACTCTTTCTCTTCTGATCTTCTCTCTTCTAATCTTCCTCTTCTCTCTGCCTCTGCCCTGCTCTGCTTTTCATCTGTCCATATTGTCGGAAGTTTGACTTCTAAACTTCCTTCGATAATGCATATCTGTATAATATCTGTACATAATACAAAACACACTCTATTCATAATACTCTGTAGGTGCATTGGATATTATATATATAGAGTGTTATTTCTTTTTATCATAAAGACAAAACACAAATGCATCAACATATATATATATATAATGAATATGGGACCATATACATTAACTACCCCAATCCTGACTCATTACCAACCAGAATCCGTTCCTTGTCAAATCAGCTGCATCGAATTGGGCATTTGACAGCCCAAACCCTGGTCACATTGTCGAGATGTTGAGAAAAGCCCCGAAAGAGTCTGAGGGCCACACAGGACATTGGAGATTGAAGGCTATGGAAGGTCCTGCCCGCGCACCAAGCAAACACTGCAGTTCTGCAGTTCGGTGACACTGCTGGTGCCCGCAGTGAAAAGGAAGTTGGTTTATGAAGTCGATATATCCTAGTTATATGATCCTAGTTATGTCAGCTATAAGCCAACTTAGAAAAAACTCTGGGGCAGCACCTTGCAGGTAAAGCCGCTGCCAATTCATGGTATCTATTGGAGTTCACCAACATCAAACACACATGGATAATGTTCCCCTCCGGTTATCAAACGTCAAACGTGAACATTCCCCCATTTAGTTTGATACTTGTCCACCTAGAAAATCTTCCTATGGGGATCTAAAACCTTCATTTATAAGGGATTTGTATACCCATATGCTCCATGTATGGTATATTTACCTACATTTGGGTGATTTCTAGGGCAAATGTTGGTAAATATTCCAGCACCATGGAGCATAAGGGATAGATAAGGTTCCTATTAAAAGCACCATTTAGTTCCGGGATGTCGTGATAGTCTGCAACAAAATGGTGGTTTCAAATCTGCCAATATCCCCATAACATTTAACGTGTCACAGTCAAACATGTTGATACTTGTACCCAAAGCTGGTAGATTGACTTCGAGGCACATCATCTGCTTGTGGATTGGGAACTAGATTGTGATATCATGTAATATCAGCTGTTTGACTGCCACACTGCGCTGCCTCAAACTATTTCACATGGTCAGGAACCAATCCCATGCCCGCACTAAAATAATGCCAGCAAGTGAAACCTGAACCAACGGTTTCGGAAGAGGTGCACATCGTCCGGGAGCTTGGAAACGGTCATTAGAAGACATGATACCCAATTTTATTGGGTATATGAGCCAACTATACCTACTACCCTCTGGTTATGACTAACATAGCCATGGTGTAGGTGGCCCATAGAAATAGATGGTTTACCTATTAATAGCATGGTGGATCTTTCCATGGCAATTTGTTTGTCATAACCAGATGGTACACCCAAAAAAACCTCCTGGCTCCATTGAGTCCACTAATATTGACATGGGTGAGGAACTCCTTTAGGTAACCTTGGTGATCACCCAACACGACCTGGTTGGTGGTTGACCTACCCCTCTGAAAAATGATGGAGTTCGTCAGTTGGGATGATGGCATTCCCAACTGAATGGACAAATAAAATTCATGTTCCAAACCACCAAAACGACCGGTATAGTTTCATGTCTCTGGTGCTGGACCCATCTCGACATCACAACCACTGGAACTCGCCCCTTCCCCATGATGGCAATCCACTTCACTAGAGACGCTGGTAGAATGCATTGGCTATGAGTGTGGGATGGGATTGTACCCGTCCATATTTGCTGCCTCTCGTGAAAAACTGCATCTTGCTGCAGGTTTTTAGCACATGTTGGTTGCCCCCCACATCCTTTCAAGGTGATTGATTGTCGGTTTATATCTGGCAGATACTGCCAGAACTGTCCATCTGTCCATCGTGATTTCTACAACCATGCGGGGTGGTTTTTCACCACCAGTTCCACCATGCACCCAACGATCCACCTAGGTATGACATGACCAACTTAGCTAAGTGGGGGGGTCATACATGACCTTGATAACCTAGTTAACCTACTTAAGCTATAGTTAACAATCCAGTTCACCTACAGTTAAGCTATAGCTAACCAACCGAGTTATCAACCACCTCTCGGCCCTACGTTGCCACCAGCCCCGCCTGGCAACAGCATCGTCCTGGATGTGAAACTTGTCTTCCAGGACCTGATGCTCTGATGGTGATCCATAGATCTTTGGATTGATGTATCTGTAATGTGGGTAAAACACTGTCATAAACAACTCATGACCGGGAATGGTTTATACCACCTATAAAAATGGTGATGACTGGGGGATGGTTTATGGCATTGTTTTACCTACATTTCTGGAGAATATCTGTACTCAATATTATTTGGGATTTATATTTTAAAAAACTATTGGGATTTTATATGATAAATTATGGATTGTGGATTGATAGACACATTATATCTATACTGGTTGGTGGTTGACCTATATACCCCTCTGAAAAATATGAGTTCGTCAGTTGGGATTATTATTCCCAAGTGAATGGACAGTCATAAAATTCATGTTCCAAACCACCAACCAGTTATAGTTCATTCTGTATGTAACTATTGGATATAGCTATCAGATAAGTTCCATTGGAAGTACCCATCTACTATTGATCAGTTCATGACGGCCATGAATTGGCCAGTGTCTATAAACCCATTCCCCAACGTGGAGAACTAAGAACCCGGTAAGTCCCAAAAAACGATGGAACATCACCATTTTATAGCTGAATAAATCCACTATTTCGACAAGGCCATTTTCAATAGCGAACTGTTAAATTACGAGAGGGTAGTACACGCTGTCTCTGGTTGTCAATCAGTTCAGCCGGCAGGATTGCGTAGTGACGTGAACGTCACGCACCAACAATTACATATACATATTGTTTTTCTTAAACATCTTAGATTAAGTACTGGGATTATCCCAAACTATAAGTGTGCTGATTGCATAAATTCATAAATTCTTAATCAGATAAATAATGATCCACAGATAGACAGATAGACAGATAGACAGACAGACAGACAGATAGATCGATAGATAGATCGATAGATAGATCGATAGATCGATTGATCGATAGATAGATAGATAGATAGACAGATATATAGACAGATAGACAGATAGACAGATAGACAGATAGACAGACAGACAGATAGACAGACAGACAGACAGACAAATAGATAGATAGATAGATAGATAGATTAGATAGATAGATCGATAGATAGATCGATCGATAGACTAGATTTGATTAGATTAGATTAGATCAGATTTGATTAGATTAGATAGATAGATTAGATAGCCAGGATGTACAAACGGGTCTCAATTAGGCACCCCTTAATTTTTAAGGTTCCAAACTAACAAATAATGAGGTATTCATAGTAATGTGTGCATTTTTCTTCGATTTCCCCACGTTTGCTTCCAGAAATGCGTGTCATTTCGTGTCATTGCCGTGTCGTGTCGGTCATAAGTGGTCACGATTTTTTTAAAAAGAAATCAAGAAAAACATGCGTGTCATTGCGTGTCACTGCCGTGTCGTGTCGGTCGGTATAGGGGGTGTCCAATAAGCACCCCTTAGGCAAACGGGTGTCTAATAAGCACCCCTTAGAAACGTGTGGGGTGCTTTTTGAACAACCCCTGCGCGTGTCATTTCGTGTCGATTTTGACTAGTTTTCTTGAATTTGGGAACATTTTACATCCGACGCGAAAAGAAACGCATGCATTTCTTCTCGCCAAAAATGAAGTCGGGTGCACCACAGATGCCACGCGGGTGGGATTGGAAGATTTTGGGTTGGAACTCATCATTTTCTGGTGTGCCATCTCCATGAACGCTAAGGGGTGTCCATTAGGCACCCCTTAAGATTCTCAATTTTTAAAATTCATTAGGCACCCCTTTGAACGTGCTGGAGATAAAAAAAAATATATATATATATAGATAGATGGATAGATTTATAGATTAGATAGATTTAGAAATGATTTAGATAGATTAAATATATTAGATAGATCAATAGATAAATCAATAGATAGATTGGTAGGTTGGTAGGTAGATAGACGAAAGTATTTACTTGTATCACATTCATTCACATAGATAAGTGAAGCTATATCCTATTGTTTCCAACGATCCCATATACTTATCTGCAAAAAGAAACATAACCCTGAACCAGTCGGGTTTAATGGGTTATGATGGAATATAGTCCGGATAAGGTATAGACATTCACGAACATTGAATAGGGCTGTTTGGGGATACTTGCCCCTCCCAACCAATTTACAGTGACATCGCGGAGAAAATATGTTTCAAGAACAATATTTAGAGATACCCAATGGGTTCCAACCATGCCCTCTCAGACAATGTCTTGTTTGGGGACATGCTTGAGGGTTCCTTGTCAGGACATATTTAAGGGGTGTCACTTAGGGGGTTAAGTGCCTTATCAGAAAGTGCTTGGATCAATAGATATCCCAAATATGCCCTAATTTTGAAATAATATTGGAAACATCACCATCATAACTGGATACGTGGAGCATATGGATATTGGACAATCATACAACTGGTGCTTATCCCAAATATGAGGACACATGGTACAGTAACCGTCAAAAAAACATGCTGCACCAGTAGCACCGAAACATGCCACTGGCTCTGTGGGCAAAGAGCTTCCAAGTGCTCTTGCCAATTGACATACAGTAATGCAGTCCTTCACTGCCATGTTCTTGTGGTTGATGAGCTTTGGAGCCAGTTTCCAGCTGCCCTGCCTCTTTTTGAGGGCTTGGAGTTCCTTTTGTGGATCCTTGTGCTCCTGTGGCCTCTCTTCCACTTCCTGCTCTGATGCTGGGGCTTCACCTAAGCTGTCAGTAGCCTCCAGCACCATCTTGGTTGCCCACATTTCACCATGATAGAAAAGCATGGATTCAAACCAAGAGAACCATCTCATCAGTTTGATGAGTGGCCCCTTTGTGGCAAAGGAGTCCATTGCCTTCAGGGACTGGAAAAGATCCTGGGACTCCTCAAAATCAGTTGGTTCTGCAATCCTCCTCTCTTTGCAGACCAAAGGCTGATATTTTGACCAAGAAGGATCTGAAGTGGAATTGGTGTTCAAGAACTCTTCCAGTCTGGCCTTTTTCTTGAAGTGCCAGGCTGAGGAACCAAAAGGCCCATAATTCAAATTGGCTACCAATGTCATCTCCAGAACTGTTCTCCAGGCCTGTGATTTTGAAGCCTTCAAAGCAGTCTTGACATCATTCGTTCGCATCATCTACTGTCCTCATGGTGAATGGGACACTGGATCCGATGCTCTTTTGATAGATAAACAGTTGCAAATATGTAGCACTTCAATAAGTCAATGGCCATGCAACAGGAACCTAAATTGGAGGTACCTACCATATATAAGCCTATTTTTCAGGCCTATGTAAGGGAATATCCCTACAAAATATGGTCTTATATGGTACAGTACCTCCATTTTAGGATCCTGAAATTCCCATTGAATAAGTCGTCCTTTTCATGGAAACACAACTGTCATAGGTAGGTTTGATGGTTAGTTAATGGGTGATAGGCCATGATTTTTTTACCAGGAGGCATAAACAAACCCAACTGCTAAACATTTCCAATATTCAGGATCATCCAAGCAAACAAATGCTTGTAAACACCAGTTATGAATCAAAATCCTGGTTCATTGTAATTAGTTCAAAACAATACTAATAATAGTAATAACGATAATAAATCGAAAAACGGTTAATAATTGTAGTAATGATAATAATAATAGTAACAATATAATAATACTTATCGGTGCTCATGCATGTTCATCCGCCCAACTATAGTATCAGAACAGGGTCCCACTTGCCACACAAAACAGCAAGCAGGTCCCCTGCCCATTGTTTCCCATGCAACTTGATAAAACTTATGTGTCTCTGAGATCAGTATCCATTCTTCAGAAATCAAACACTTCTCAAGCAGTTGCAGGAAGGTCAACCCGCTGTGCATCCAATCTTTGGAGCTTTCATCCATTGAAAAATGGGAATTTTCACCAGCCAACTCTTGGGTTACCATCTGGTTATGACTAACATAGCCATGGTATAGATGGCCCATTTATAGATGGTTTACCGAACTTGAAAATGGTGGATTTTTCCATGGCTATGTTAGTCATAACCAGAGGGTACCCCCAACTGGGCGACTTCGGAAAGCCAAGTCCAGTCCCATAGCAGGATAGCAGGGGGATAGCCTCATAGAATCCAGGTAGCCTGGTGGGTAATTTGACGGACATGCTGATGTTCATTACTGGTTGGTGGTTGACCTACCCCTCTGAAAAATGATGGAGTTCGTCAGTTGGGATGATGACATTCCCAACATATGGAAAAATAAAAGTCATGTTCCAAACCACCAATCAGATTAGCTATTTGAAACATTACCAGAGTTTATCAATCCCCATTTAAAAAAAAAAGTTTATCAATCTGACTCATGTATTTTGCAGGTGATGGGTAGCACCCCCATTGTTTTACCAACTATGGAGTATTCACGAACATTCCCTGATTTGTATATATGCACACCTATGCCATTAAACTTGCCCAACCTTCTCATGTTTAAAGTCATTTTGATATCAGACAATTTATTCGATATAAAAAAAGAAGATTTCTTTTTTAAAGGCAATTTATTTAAATTGTTCGGATCATTTATCTTCGCCCTTTTAAAGAGTTATATTTGTTTAATTTTATTCGGATTAATCTTCGCCCAGTAACGCTCTTCAATTCCGACAAGGTAATTGTGCCGCTGTGATCCTCGTTCGCACGAGCTAGGTATTGAAGCACTAAGTCACCATAGGAAACCAACAAAAAAAACGAAACCATCGGAAAATGGTGATTTAATCATGAAAAATGAAGATTTGATGGGATTTATAGGTGGTTTATTATCTATGGTAATTATGGCAAATGGGTGATGAGATAACTATATTTAGATGGAGTGTATTTTAAGCCAACACACATAATTAAGGGGCCACGACCTTCTAATCCAATTACCATGCTTTGACCATTGGCTATTGGATGCTATTGGTTTCCCTCGAATGATAACTGGAAAAAATGAGGTTTGGGAAATCCTCATTTGTTTGTAACAAAGGGTTCCAAGCGAAGGACATCAAGATTCAGAATTTACCATGTTACCACATATCGTTGCCTTGCCTTTGGATCTTTAATTATTTTAATTGGATACTTCCACTGGTACAACACCATGATGGCCATGGGTCATGCACCTAACATTGATTAACCTGAAGCTACCCACCATCCATGCCGGATAGGGCGTGGTTTCCCCACTGCGATTCCTGACCATGATACTTCAATCAATGGATTGGATGGAGGGAGAATATAGAAGTAATCATGTATAGTATATATAGTATATATATAATAATATATTATTTAATGTATTAATTAATATATAGATATGTTATTATATATATATATTATTATAAGTTTCCATGATCCAGCTGCGGGTATTTCCTGCAACTTATCCTTGCATCCAATTCTGGGCTACTTGGAACTCCAAGCCCCACGCCTAAGTTCCAGGCATTCATGTTCTATGACTCGGTAAAGGCCCCAGATAAACTACAGTACTCTTAAGAATAGATATATCATGATATATCATTATATAATCTATATTATGTATCCTTGCTATGCTTATTAATTCTTGGAACTTAGCTAATGTTCATTAATTTTCCATAAAAAATATTGCTCAAGTCCGGGCTGCAATCCATGCCTCCAATGTTATGATCATCCCCATTAATCCCCATAGCAATGAAGCCATAGTCAATCCCGACCTGACCTTCATAAATCACCATAAAAAACTAGCCGTTTCACCTAAAAATCACATTTTTTGTTGAACTAGCCTTTTCATTTTTTTCACCCCCCAGGAAATAGCAATGATCCATCTTCAACCCAACTTATCAACATATCCATCATACATCACCAACAAAAATCGAATCAACATTTTTAAATCCACGAAAATCCCATAAATTTCTTGGACCTCCCAGCATTTTGTTGGGGCCCTCCACCGCGCCTTGTCGATCTCCAGGAAGGCCTTGTGCACCTCCTGACGTTCCTCATTGGACAAAGAGATGGCCATCACCGACAAGCACGCGCCTTGGCGACGCTCGATTTTTCGCGATGCTAGGATCAGATGATAGGATATATATATATATATTATCTATGGATATGTGTGGTCACCATGTTATCCCAAAATATGGTTTGTATGTGATAGAGTGTGATATTATAGATAGAACACTAATATATTGGATATATCTATATATATACATATATGTGATGAATTATACATGAGGATATAAGATGATTCAAGATTAACTATTATATAAAATGTAATATGTGTTCGAATAATCAAGCATGATACAATATCAAATAAAATGTTCTATATTATGGACATCGTAGTGTCATATTCTATGACAAAAATGTATACACATGTCATCTTATATATCGTTAAACACCTGGCTATTCAAAGTAGGATGATCCTGCCGATCAACTGAGCAACTTTGAGCAACGGCGAAAATCTGCTGGAAAATTCCTGCGCCAACTGAGACTGGTATAGGGATCCACATTTCATCAACACTAATTCATATTATAGACAAAATATATACACCATTCAAAACCAATCTAAATCAATAATATATATATATATATCAATGCGCATTAAGCCTTCATAAATCTCACTGAATCAGCATAATGCACCTGAAAAGTTCGTCCATTTGAGGATTGTTTCTCCCCTAATCCGATCACCATGATTCCAGAATGCCATTGCGACGCGAGGTCGTTATCAAACTCACTCAGATAATATCAAAGAATCATATCGTATACATACATAATATGTATATATATATATATTATATATACACACCATTCATTTCTTTACCATTAATTACCATCATATCCTGATGTTCAAATTCCATCATCTCACCCTTGGCTCCAAAAACATCTTGCGGGCCACGTCTGAAGGCGGAACTCTCAGAGAAGGAGCACAAGGCATCCACGATGTCCTGAGGCCGCTCCCTGGGCCCCCGGTGACGCCGTTGCAAAGACGGTATAACCGTTATGTCCCAACTAACATTGGGATTATTTCATGATATATGGGGATGGGTCAAAACCCTGGTACCGTGCCGTGAACCCCAAGTCATAGCTGGGATTTATGGATGTTCATTCCCCTAAAAATGGTATTAATAGGTATTGATCCATACCAACATTAACCAACTACTTATAGGAGTTAGATGGAGTTAGTTCATCCCTTTTATAACTGTTAGGCCAGGGCCATAGTAGCGTACCATACCTCTATATAGAGGGTTTTTACTAATTACAGTATACTTTGTTTTTTGTTAATGGTCAGTTTTAATGGTATATCTAGTAGATAAACTATACCATAAACTATAGGCTTCGAAAAACAAAAAAAAGTTCTAATGATGGTTGATGGTATAACTCATAGATACTTACTGGTTGGTGGTTTCAACCCCTCTGAAAAATATGAGTTCGTCAGTTGGGATGATGACATTCCCAATATATGGAAAGTCATAAAATTCATGTTCCAAACCACCAACCAGCTTATAACGTGGTTATGGTCTAACATTCATCACCCCCTGAGGGGCACCGCCTTGTGGGTCTGGCCTTGTTGACATAGCTCTTTGCCACCACTTCTCTCTTGGCAATCCATGCATGTCCTGCGAAAGAGCATAAAAAGATATACAGAATAATACGTCATCCCAATGAGAAAACCATATCGTTATATATCGTTTGCGACTGGTCTTTTTTGGGTGACCAATGTTTGGTATGTTTTTTCTTTAAACAGCATATAGTCAGACTATATGCTATTTAAAGGAAAACACACCACACATTGGTCCAAAGACTGGAATGATGACTCACCAAGGCAACATGGTTGTAATGTTGTATACATGTTCATGTTCGTCCCAAATCCTTAAATTGCTGGTGCTTCGAATAAATACCCATTTTTCATCTTGTGTAATATGCATTCTACACAAATCCAATGAGTATTACGAGTATCGTTAGTTTTGCCTCACCTCCCACTGTCGTTAATCTGTCCCATTTCTGAGCAAAAAACATGATCATTCGCCGCAAGGCAATTTCGAGATTGTCCTTTCAAACAATCAGTTGAGACGTTGAGACGTCCGCTAGTATCGCTAGTGAGGTTGTTATTATTCACCCCATCTTTTTGGATTCGGTTCGATCCCCTTTGTGACCAAAAAAGGGAGTTAAATGGGGTGAAACAGTTGAAACATTCCTCCTAAGTCTAGTAATTTCACAATAATTCACATCAACATTCAGATTGCTGTGATACATCCTAAATTAACATCAACATCATAAACATCAACATTCAGAATGCATATTATCATAGATTCATAGATCATAATGATATGTTTAATAGATTCATAGTTTCCTTAGATCCCACTCAGTCTTCGATAAAGTTTAACTGGGGCTTTCACAACGACAAAGTTTAACTTGGTCTTTGGAAGCGACATGTGTTTACTGGGCATTATCAGACCCAATGAGTACTAGTATAAAATAGTATAAATATATACCGGACTCCAGAGTTTCAAACAAATCCCACTCCAAACCCAGAGCGTGAAAAGTGCGTGAAACGACCGTGAAAAACCCGTGAAAAGACAGTGAAAAACCCGTGAAAACCAATCAAAAACTTGAGCATGGAAACCACATATTTTTATTCAGAATTTTGAGGATTGATTTACGGATTCGATTAGGCTCAGGGGAAAGGTCACCCTTTTTTGGCCTTTAGTATGGCCAATATATCAGCAGTCAATGATTGTCTTTAAGTAAAGTCATGGCTTTACTTGGCCGACAACGTTTAACTTTGTTCTTGGAAGTAGTGGGGATGATAGACTAATAGTTCATAGATTCATAGATTCAATCTGAATGTTTAATCATAATGGTATGATGTTTATGATCTACAGTCAGTGCCAGAATTATAGAACGGAGCCAGGAGTACAAAAGTACGGTAAAATACCGTACCTTTGTACTCCTCCGGGTTCCGATTCCGCGCGGAGTCGGGAAATTTAATTATAGAACGGGGATCCGTTCTATAATTAAATTTCCCCGTTCTACATTATTAAATTTCCCCGTTCTATAATTTCTGGCACTGACTTGATATTTACTGCATATTTGTACATATACAATCTATAAAATGAAGATTTAATGAGTACATTCAGATACGTTTTTTTTCATACCTTCCGAGGAAAACAGAATTATAGAACAACAGGGTACGGTAAATAACCGTACCTTCGTACTCCTCAACTTCCGTTCTATAATTCTGTTTTCCCCCATTTTTCCCACATTTACCAGGTGTTTTTTTTAGATTTCATGGTGATTTTCTGAGATTTCATGGTGGTTTTATGGGATTTCATGGTGATTTTCTGAGATTTCATGTTGTTTTTGTGCGATTTCATCGTGATTTTATGGGATTTCATGGTGATTTTATGGGATTTCATGGTGATTTTATGGGATTTCATGGTGATTTTATGGGATTTCACGGTGATTTTCTTAGATTTCATGGTGATTTTGTAGGATTTCTGGGACCCCGGAAGAGGTTCTATAATTATATAATTAATTTTTCCGTTCTATAATTAATTTTTCCGTTCGACGGAAAAAATAATTATAGAACGGGGCCCGGGAAACATTAATTATAGAACGAAAATGGGAAATGTGAGAAAAATGGGGGAAAACAGAATTATAGAACAGCAGCGCTCCGACAAGAATTATAGAACAACGAAAAAAGTTAGGAGTAAATTCAGATACGTTTTTTTTTCACACCTTCCGAGGAAAACAGAATTATAGAACAACAGGGTACGGTAAATAACCGTACCTTCGTACTCCTCAACTTCCGTTCTATAATTCCGGCACTGACCATATGATGAACTGGTTGGTGGTTGACCTACCCCTCTGAAACATATTAGTCAATGGGAAGGATGACATCCCATATATGAAATGGAAAATAAAAGATGTTCCAAACCACCAACCAGTGATTATTAACCATCATTAACCATCATTATCCCATACTAAACCATGTGTTCCATGTGTTTTTTCCCCAGTTTTCGATGTCTGGCTTTATTTACGGGTCTCCTAAGGCCTCATCGGCTGAAAGTCGATGCGATGGGTTCACCTGGAGGATGCGATGGGTTCATGGTTAAAAGACCAACCCCGAGAATAGCCAGAAGAATGATCATCCATAATACCCATAGGATCCATGTATGCCATATATGGTAATATTTACCATCACTATACCCCCAATGTTAGCATATATACCATACATGGATCCTATGGGTATCCCATGATAATCCATGATAATCCGTGATAAACCCATCTATTTTCGTAAAAATATTCCGATGGATAATCCGATGGATAATCCATCGAAATTGGAGGTCCCCTATTTTCGGATAGACCTCGGCATTTCCTTAATGAGGACATCACGTGATGCTGCAATGCCGGTGCGGAACCAACCATGACTGGGTGGTCATGTCTCATCTCAATGGCTTCAGGAACAGTAAGGGAATATCCCCAGAAATGGCCAGAAATATGCTACTTACTAACGTACCCCCATAAATTGGATCCTGAAATTCTCATCATCTCAAAACCCACAATGCATGGCTGGATTTATTCTTTGCCACCTGGACCTCGCGTGGAGAAAATCCGCCACAAAATGGGTGTCGGACACATGTGCTTTTTTTCAAGCGCTACGAAGCCATGTTGGTTTGTTAAACCCATCTAAGTTCATATGATTCTGTAACATATTATATATAACCACACATATGAAATCATATGAATATAAATAATTAAACATAAATGTCATACTATAAAATATCATATTACGCACATATTACGTAATCTTAGATTGCATTACATTATATTGTTTTAAAATAGGTTGAAATATATTGAATCAAATCAAATCATATGATACCATAAGAAATTATATCATATCATATTGTTTCAATTTATTTCATATTATTACATATGATTATTTCATATCATTAATTCATATTATTATTTCATATTATTATTTCATATTATATAGTATCACATTATATCTTATTATATTGTATCACATATGGAAATTATAATCATATAGATTGTCTATATTGTAATGTATGTATATGATAGTTATATATCATATATTAAATTATAAATATACATATGTTATATTAAATATAAATATGTAAATTTATCATATTTTGCAATGTATGTATAAACCACGAATCGCAGTTACAACTTATCTGGGTAAATCATTAATCACCAACCTGAAGAGTTCGGATAGCTAGCCCCAATCCACGGCAACCCCTTAAGATTGAAGGTGCCCCAAAACGGAATCCTTAAGTTGGTAGTTTATATCTACCATAACCATCCACAACCAGGTTAATAATTCTATTTGTGGAAGGATGATACTATTTATAACCAATTATAACTAGGAAAGGGTTTTAACAGCAGGATATTATCCGTGCCATTATCCAAAGAGCCGCCATTGTGAACAGTTTTCGCTCCGCTTCCAAGTCCATGTGCAGTTCAACATCCAAGGGGGGCTGCTGGTAATGACAACAACTGGGGTTTAATGATTCAGGCGGAGAAAGCTGGCTAAAATAAACCAGCAACAGTCATAGAAGTGGCCAAAGTCATGGGGGTACCCCCAAACATCATCTAAGTGATTGATGACTATGACAACTATGACTTAATGAAAAACCATGGTGAGGATCAGGGGATCCCTCAATTTTAAAGAATCCACATATCTGAAAAACATCTGATTCCAAGACACTGACAGCAACTTCTCGACAAAGTCCTGGAATTCGCTGGAAGAAGATCTGTTTTTTGGTGATGATAAGATGCAGCTATGGCCCTTCACCTGAACTATAGTTCGATACATATTCATAAATGGGTTTGTAATATGTTGTAGTAACTGTTATATTCCTATTATTGGATCCTCATGAATATGTATGGATATTCATGGATAGCTCACCCTGTATTATTGGTTGGTTCTCCTTCATCGATCTCACAGATTTCCTAAGTCGCTAATGGGAGAATTTTCAGTAACACTGATAGTGCCCACATTCAGTTGGTGGTTAGTAATGGGATTGTACTAAGTACAGTTCTGGTTGGTGGTTTCAACCCCTCTGGAAAATATTAGTCAGTTGGGATGATTATTCCCAATATATGAGAAAAAACATGTTCCAAACCACCAATCAGAGTTTATATTCAGTTTGTAACCATTTGTCGTTGAAAATTCTTGCCACCGTTTGCTCAATTCGCAGGAAAACCCTCGCACTGTGAATCCGAACAAAAAACACGCCTAGTATGGCTAACTAGTAGATACCTGATAGACATCATGTTTTTTGTCTGGGAATAAAACGGCATTCACGCATTTCAAGGACCGACCCTCACCAGCATGTTTACCCATACATTGGTAATAAGATGTGCAGTAAAAATATGCATGGTGGCCGCATATATAATGAATGACGCATCTCCATGATTTTTATTCATTTTTTTCTGGGAAAACCTCTGTTACTCATCATCATCATCATCATCATTTTCCCATAAACATTGCCATATATTGCCATTCAATAGTGTTTCCCATAAACAGTTTCCTGGTTGGTGGTTTCAACCCCTCTGAAACATATTAGTCAATGGGAAGGATTATCCCACATATGAAATGGAAAATAAAAAATCTTTGAAACCACCAATCAGTGATTGTTATCATTCATTGTTATCCCAGAATTATCCTGAATGTAATGATCCCAATACCCATATGCCCCATATGCCCCAGAATTATCCTGAATGTAATAATCCCATCATCTACCCACCAAGTTTCACAGACCTCACGGACGGCCCAACTCGGGCAGTCCGTGCCCGGGCATCGGCCTTGGCGCTTGGAGAGGCCGACAGCCACGCTTCCCTTTCTTTGGAGAACCTCAGTTGACTCATGGTGGATGTGAAATATGCACATGGATAGGATAGGATCAACGCTGGACTTATGTTGATAGCCAGCGGAGCCAGCGTGGTATGTGATGATGACGTCGGGATGTGGAAGTCTCAATCATGGAGCCGATCGTTTCTATGCCTTAACTGAGGGTCAGGGTATGGGTCAAGGTATAAAAGTAAGCCAAAAAGACAGACACGTACTTTACCACTATCAAACTGGGACGGATTTTACTTGTTGATTTTTTGGCTTTGGATGCTACAAAGGTTTGTGTTGATTTCTTCCCTGTCATCCCCAAATGGGACGGCATCCCCCTGAATCACCACCAGATCCTAATAGAATAGGATACACCTGGGCTAGCAATACAACAACACTCACAACTTATGATGATGATAAAAAAAACAGCTTGTGGTAGTGACCTATATAACTTATTAAAAACAAACAAACAATTTGATGGTGACTTATGATTAATGATAATATTGTATAATTCACCTGGGCTACAGTAACTCGTGACCCAGTTATGGTTGTTTACAGTTGATGAATAGTTGGGTGCCGGTCAAGAATAGCAAACACCAAAAATCCATGGTTTGAACTTCAAGGACCATAGATCAAACTAGTTCTGGATAGCCTCTGGGAAATTGAACATATCTACAGAAATGGCCCATTGATGGTTTATTGAACGATGTTGATTTTCCGTGTTTTCCATAGCTATGTTAAATTACCAGAGGCTACTATATGCACATTGGGTTCCAGAAACTGTATGAAACTGTACCATACCAGCCGCTGAGATGACCCAAGCAGGGACGTCACCTCCATTTTCTGTGTCATTCATATTTAAACCACTGCCGCAATTCCACCGTTGGTTTTCATCCATTAACATATCCATGAAAATTATAAGGTCCGGTTAAAAACAACTCTTCGAAGCCATGAATTGTGTTCCATTCAAACCCACCCAAAATGCCATGGAAAACCATGGAAAATGGTGATTTTACCACATCCCACAGGTGATTTCCCATTGAAACAGTCCATGAAAACCCATCCCACTGGCCGCGGTACTTTCCAGCGCCGATGCGCTGCAGCATGGCAGTGTCGCCATCGCGGCCGGCTAAGGGGAAGCTGCCCACCAGCAACGTGTAGGTGATGACCTTGGACGTCTGCTGCTGGCAACAACGAAACCATCCGGAAAATGGTGGGTTTAACTGGGGAAATCATAGGAAAACCTTAGGAACATGCTGAATTAAAGCAACAAACATGTGAAATTCATGGGAAATCTGCTGATTTATTAAAATTTATGATAGCTAAGTTGCTGCAATTCTGTCCAATGTCTATGGTTTTTCAAGGGGATATATGGAACCAAGTACTCATGGGGTGAATATCACCAACCTCACTGGCACCACCTTCTAGGGATGTTGATTGTGGATATGTTCTGGCTATAAGTCAAGCCGGTCAAGCCGTCTTGAGGAGTGGAATCTACAGCAAACGCCCACTCGGGCGGATCCAGGCAACGCCGCAAGCTGCGCCAACGTACTTCTTGAAGGCTTGGGCTATGTATTATGAATGGTTTTATGGTTATTTATGGTTACAGTAGTTATGTTAATTAATTATATGTGTTTGTGAAATTCCCCATGACCCAATTTGATAGTTTCTTTATGACTGATTAACGGTTGATTGGTAGCGTGTTTTGTTTTTTGCGTGTGGTTGATTTTGATAAATCCTCCTAACCCGACTTTTAGGTATAAAACAAATAATTGTTGATTGGTTGTTTGAAAAGGCTGTTCCACTTGACCATCCAAGGATTTTAACATGGTTTAACCAACATATGGGGATGTGTAGCTGACTTATAGGCAATGATACGGCTTGAGGCTATTTAATGAAGATTTATGCGCATAGTGTCACAATGATATTGGGGAAATCTATGGATTTTACATGTTGCGGGATGTATAGAACAAAATGGATCAATGGTGTGGTTGAGCCACCTGGTACTATTTTCCACGAAGAAACCAAAAACGGCCATGAAGCAGACCATATGCATGGAATAAGAAGTACTCTAGCGGCCAAATGATCTAAAACCAAGGAAGGATTGAGGCAAACTGCCATATATTTCTGCAAAAACAAACATTTGAAATACTAAGAAATCTCTATAACTATCCGTTTCCAACATGCCCCGATGTTTTTTACCGTTTCCCATGGGTGTCGTTTTTGTTCCCCTCCTCACCTAGCGCGACGATCGGGCAAGGCTCCCCCAAACTCCACAAGTCGCATTTGGAGGTGTAGTTCCGATGCAGAACCTGCCCCAGCCATCCATGGTGCGCATGTGTTGCTGTAGAAATTCTATTGATGGGATTGATGGGATTATGTGGGGATATATATATATATGTATATAACCATGGTTAATGGATGTTAATGGGGTTTATAAACCAACTTATGGATGTTAATAGGGTTTATAAACCAACTTGTGGATGTGAATGGGGTTTATAAACCAACTTATGGATGTTAATGGGGGTTATAAACCAACTTATGGATGTTAATGGGGTTTGTAAACCAACTTGTGGATGTTAATGGGGTTTATAAACCAACTTATCATACACTTTATATATGATGGCCCAACAATGACTGGTTGGTGGTATACCTACCCCTCTGAAAAATATGAGTCAGTTGGGATGATGACATTCCCAACTGAATGGACAAATAAAAACATGTTCCAAAACAACAACTAGATCTATTCAAAATTCATCCATGTTTTGGAAAGTTGATGAATGTGATAAGTTCCATACTCCCCCACATAGACTTGACTTGTCGAATAGCTCTTTCAAATAGCTAAAGGTAGAATGAGAAAGATGACGCGCAGTTGAAGGTGACCATGCCGACCGTAAGGATTTTCACCTCGGTGTCGTCAAACATGGCTTGCTGGAGAATCCTTCATTGATAGATGAGTTTCCCATTCAATTCTTCATTTCATACGGGATTCATATAATGGTTTTACCATATTTTGTACCTGAGAATATCTTAGGTATTCCCTAAGCATATTCTACGTATATAAATGGTACAAAATTAGAATGGGTTTTACCATTTTTGTACCATATTTTGTTTTTGTACCTAAAACAAGATGGAAGCCACGAACCCGAATGTATTCACGTTCTTGGACTACGAGTGCAAACCTCTGCAATAGGAAAACGAACCTTTGTTTGCATGCATCGTGCGGTTCACAAAGAGACAACTAACCAGCACAACAACATCACCACAAGCACAATGAAATCACAACCAGCACAACAATATCACCAGCGCAATGAAATCAAAATAAAAATCACCAACACAACAGCATCACCAGCACAGCAACATCACCAGCACAACGAGATCACCACCACCTGCCACACTCCACACTTTACCCACTGCACACTCCACACTCCACACTTTACACTCCACACTCCGCACACTACACTTTACACTCCACACTCCGCACTCTACACTTTACACTCTACACTTCACACTCTACACTTGACACTCTACACTTCACACTCGACACTTTCCGCTCCGCACTCCACACTCTACACTTTATACTCCAGGCTGCACACTTTACACTTTACACTTTACACTCCTCACTCCTCACTTCACGCTCTACACTCTACACTCCACACTCCACACTCCACACTCCACCACACTCAACACTCTACACCCACCACACTCCTCACTCCACACTCCACACTTTACACTCCACACGCCACACTTTACACTCCACACTCGCCACTTTCCACTCCACACTCCACACTCTACAGTTTACAATCCACACTTTACACTTTACACTCCTCACTCCACACTCAACACTTTACACTCCACACTCCTCACTCCTCACTCCACACACTACACTCCACACTCCACACTCCATACGCCACACTCCACCACATTCTACACTCTACACACACCACACTCCTCACTCCATACTCCACACTTTACACTCCACACGCCATACTTTACACTCCACACTCCACACTTTATACTTTGCACTCCACACTCTACACTATACTATACACTCCACACTCCACACTCTACACTTTACACTCTTACTTTTTACAATCTACGCTATATACACATTCCACACTCTACACGCTCTACACTCCCCACTCCACACTATACAAAGCACTTCCCAGTACTACTTTGTACTGCAAAGCTTGCACATTTGTACTACAAAGCTTGCACAAAGCACTTCCCAGTACTACTGTGTACTACACAGCTTGCACAAACTACTTCCCAGTACTACTGTGTACTACACAGCTTGCACAAACTACTTCCCAGTACCACTTTGTACTACAAAGCTTGCACGAAGCACTTCCCAGTACCACTTTGTACTACAAAGCTTGCACGAAGCACTTCCCAGTACCACTTTGTACTACAAAGCTTGCACGAAACCGTTCCCAGTACTACTGTGTACTACAAAGCTTGCACAAAGCACTTCCCAGTACTACTTTGTACTACAAGGCTTGCAAAGTTGTTCCCAGTACTACTGTGTACTACAAAGCTTGCCACAACTACTTCCCAGTACTACTTTGTACTACAAGGCTTGCAAAGTCGTTCCCAGTACTACTGTGTACTACAAAGCTTGCAACAACTACTTCCCAGTACTACTTTGTACTACAAAGCTGGCACAAAGTCGTTCGCAGTACTACTTTGTACTACAAAGCTGGCACAAAGTCGTTCGCAGTACTACTTTGTACTACAAAACTTGCACAACACGTTCCAGTACTACTGTGTACTGTGTACTACAAAGCTCGCACAAAGCACTTCCCAGTACTACTTTGTACTACAAAGCTTGCACAAAGCACTTCCCAGTACTACTGTGTACTACACATGCACAAACACGTTTCAGTACTACTGTGTACTACACATGCACAAACACGTTCCCAGTACTACTGTGTACTACAAAGCTCGCACAAAGCACTTCCCAGTACTACTTTGTACTACAAAGCTTGCACAAAGCACTTCCCAGTACCACTTTGTACTACAAAGCTTGCACAAAGCACTTCCCAGTACTAGTGTGTACTACAAAGCTTGCACAAACTACTTCCCAGTACTACTTTGTACCACAAAGCTTGCACAAAGTCGTTCCCAGTACTACTGTGTACTACACAGCTTGCACAAACTACTTCCCAATACCACTTTGTACTACAAAGGTTGCACGAAACACTTCCCAGTACCACTTTATACTACAAAGCTTGCACAAACTACTTCCCAGCACTACTGTGTACTACAAAGCTTGCACAAAGCACTTCCCAGTACTACTGTGTACTACAAAGCTTGCACAAAGCACTTCCCAGTACTACTGTGGACTACAAAGCTTGCAACAACTACTTCCCAGTACTACTGTGTACTACAAAACTTGCACAAAGTCGTTCGCAGTACTACTTTGTACTACAAAGCTCGCACAAACACGTTCCCAGTACTACTGTGTACTACGAAGCTCGCACAAAGCACTTCCCAGTACTACTTTGTACTACAAAGCTTGCACAAAGCACTTCCCAGTACTACTGTGTACTACACATGCGCACAAAGTCGTTCCAGTACTACTGTGTACTACAAAGCTCGCACAAACTACTTCCCAGTACTACTGTGTACTACACTAAGCTTGTACTACAAAGTGCACGCACTTTCGCAAAGTACTACCACTTTGTAGCTACAAAGTACTACTGTGTACTACAAAGCTTGCACAAAGCACTTCCCAGTACTACTTTGTACTACAGCTTGCACAAAGCACTTCCCAGTACTACTGTGTACTACAAAGCTTGCACACAACTACTTCCCAGTACTACTTTGTACTACAAGGCTTGCAAAGTCGTTCCCAGTACTACTGTGTACTACAAAGCTTGCAACAACTACTTCCCAGTACTACTGTGTACTACAAAGCTTGCACAAAGTCGTTCGCAGTACTACTTTGTACTACAAAGCTTGCACAAAGTCGTTCCCAGTACTACTGTGTACGTTACTACAAAGCTCGCACAAACTACTTCCCAGTACTACTGTGTACTACAAAACTTGCACAAACACGTTCCAGTACTACTGTGTACTAGAAAGCTCGCACAAACACGTTCCCAGTACTACTGTGTACTACGAAGCTCGCACAAAGCACTTCCCAGTACTACTTTGTACTACAAAGCTTGCACAAAGCACTTCCCAGTACTACTGTGTACTACACATGCGCAAGCACGTTCCAGAACTACTGTGTACTACAAAGCTCGCACAAACACGTTCCCAGTACTACTGTGTACTACAAAGCTCGCACAAAGCACTTCCCAGTACTACTTTGTACTACAAAGCTTGCACAAAGCACTTCCCAGTACTACTGCGTACTACACATGCACAAACACGTTCCAGTACTACTGTGTACTACAAAGTTCGCACAAACTACTTCCCAGTACTACTTTGTACTACACAGCTTGCACCAAGCACTTCCCAGTACTGCTGTGTGCTACAGCTTGCACAAACTACTTCCCAGTACCACTTTGTACTACAAAGCTTGCACGAAACACTTCCCAGTACCACTTTATACTACAAAGCTTGCACAAAGCACTTCCCAGTACTACTGTGTACTACAAAGCTTGCACAAAGCACTTCCCAGTACTACTGTGTACTACAAAGCTTGCACAAACTACTTCCCAGTACTACTGTGTACTACAAAGCTTGCAACAACTACTTCCCAGTACTACTTTGTACTACAAAGCTTGCACAAAGTCGTTCGCAGTACTACTTTGTACTACAAAGCTTGCACAAAGCCGTTCGCAGTACTACTTTGTACTACAAAGCTTGCACAAAGTCGTTCCCAGTACTACTGTGTACTACAAAGCTTGCACAAAGCACTTCCCAGTACTACTGTGTACTACAAAGCTTGCACAAAGTCGTTCCAGTACTAATGTGTACTACAAAGCTAGCACAAACTACTTCCCAGTACTACTGTGTACTACAAAGCTCGCACAAACTACTTCCCAGTACTACTTTGTACTGTGGACTACAAAGCTTGCACAAACTACTTCCCAGTACTACTGTGTACTACAAAGCTCGTACAAACACGTTCCAGTACTAATGTGTACTACAAAGCTCGCACAAACTACGTCCCAGTACTACTGTGTACTACAGCACTTGCACAAACACGTTCCAGTACTACTGTGTACTACAAAGCTCGCACAAACACGTTCCCAGTACTACTGTGTACTACAAAGCTCGCACAAAGCACTTCCCAGTACTACTTTGTATTACAAAGCTTGCAGAAAGCACTTCCCAGTACTACTGTGTACTACAAATG